TAATTCCATAAACATATAATGGAAAACCAAGCAGTCGTAATAATGAGAAATCTACAACAGTCTGCGACTTCTGGCCGATTACGGTCGAACGATCAACGTTGCCTTTAAGCAAAATTTTTCTGAGGCATGTAGTATTTCAACAAGCAGTAAAGGAAAATAGAGGGGAACCATAAAACGGTAGGTTTAGGCTTTCGCAACAGGGGAGACTCCGAACAGCGGCGACCTCGAAGCACATGATGCTAGCGGTATTATGTTGCAAGATGAAACACTATTAGCCATTTGTAAATCCGGAAAATGTTTATTGAATAATGTGAACAGTGTTTCAGCAATAAATGTATTTTTAAAGCAATAAGGATATTAGAGACATATGTCTATATATCATATATCGTATACCAAACGAGTAAATTAAACATTGAATTCTGAATAATTCAAATTTATAAAATTCATTTATACAATTCATTCAAAAAATGATTTTTTAAATGTTATGTCTTAAAAATATATTCTTTGTCTTAAATTAATATTTCAAAATTTAGATTCGGCTGTTTATTCAAAATTGTTCTTTTGAAAAAAAGGATTTATATTCTATTACAATTTTTGCTTTCCATTGGGTTTTTCATAATATTGTGCTTCTCTATGAGCACTTTTAATAAGATTAACCAAAAACTAAATTATAAATAATTTTATTATGAAAGTAAAAATTATTGATATCTATATCGGCAAGCTTGGTACCATATCTTTATAATTTAAAATTAGTTTTAAAAATATTAGTTTTAATCTATGTTCGATTTTATTATTTTAAAATTGTTTAAAAAGTGCTGAAAAATAAGTTATAAGAACAAATTCTAAAAGTTCCATAACGTATGAAAATTAATTATTTTTTTATATTAACAATTTATTATTTTTTATGTATTTGACTCTTCATGAACAAGTTTTGTATCATTATATATTTTTATTCTCGTATTAGAAAAAAATACACAATATTATACAGGTCTTTTCAGAATTAATTAATAGACAGAAAAACTATAATACATAACTTACTTAAAATTAAAATTTCAAAGTTAATAAATTTTTATACAAAAACATAATACTGAAAATAAAATATTAATTATTTAATTACACAATAGCTCATTTTACTTGTTAGACCTATCATTTTTGTATGTAATGTAGAATACAGTGTATCTGTGGATCTGTCTATTTCAATAATTATGACAGCTATAATGTAACGAAAAATGAATAAATGAACAGTTGTATGGAAGGAATATACAGGCTACTAAATCGCAAATTTACGTCGCTTTAAATGAGGTGGTAATGCAAATTTCAACCTAGTTACAGTTTAGAGATTCGGAAAAGGCCACAATCATTCGGATTCGAAATTGTATGCGATCATGTGTAAAAATGAGATTAGAAATAAGTAGTGGGTGTTCAATTTGCCAAATAAGATGTGCTTGGAAATACTATGCACCTCTATGTTTGATTTTCTAATGCGTATGTAAATACATTCAATTGTGAACATTTATTTATAAACAACATTATTTTGTACATAAGAAAAATATTTTCTCCAATATATTATGTAAAGATTATAAATCGTAATAAAAAATATACCAAATTTTCTTATATTTTAATATTCAAAGAATAAACATCAGAGAAATACAAAGTTACAGCAAGAAATTTCTCTAAACACTTATTAATAATTTAGTATTACAGTTTTTATATTTTATACTAGAATTAGTTATTTATTTTGAATGTAGAATTTTATACAATATAAACATTATAATAAAAATTAAATAAATGAATATTTTAATACTAATTTCTATTTTTATAATATTATGAGTAAATACAAAATAAATATATTTGAAAGACAATAATGTCAATACAAGTGTCAGATAAAAAGTATAATAATCTTGAAAAAAATTTAATTTTTAATAAAAATTTATCAACAGTTAAAATCTAATATTAAATATGTGTGATTTATTTACATTTAATTGTATTAATTCTAAACAAATTAATAAAATCATAAAACTTATTTTATTTAAAAATTTTGATTAAAATTTATATTTATATTCATTGCATGAATTATTTATAGTTTGAGTACTTAAAGTTAAATAAAAGTTTATTCGTTTAATATTCTCAAGCTAACATGAATAACTACAAACTGAGACCAGATTTAGTTCAGAATTTATGTCAAAATTTCCAAATCATTATAATATATTTTACAACATAATTACTTTATGTTAAAAATAAGTAAATATTGAATATATTTAATATCATAATTTATAATGATAGTAGTAATACTTACACTTTTCACTTTGACTATCATAGTTTTAGAAAAATTCACAAATATAAAATAATATAAAAATTATTAATATACACAAGACTAATTTTAAACTTTAGCTAGTAATTTAATTATTTATAATAATTTTCAATATGATAATAACTTAAGAATATTCACTTAACATTCTATTGCAATTTAGATTATTGATCACTACGTAAATTAATTTTTTTTTAAATTTTTTATAACATTTCATTATCACATCATTAAATAAAAAATATAGAAGACAAATCAATTATGGCTAATACTAATATGACATATTTTTGGATATATGCATTAATTATACTAGTAAACTGCGGACTAAAACATTAAAAAAGATCCAATATTTAATTATGAGTAAAACGTTATCGAAATTAAAACCTATGAAACCCTGCTATTTAATTAACCTTATAAAAGTTATAAATATATAATGGACATTATTGCTTATTATTCTATTTATTTTTTCTGTCTTTCATATCACTTTTTATATTGCATACTAACATTAAACTTAAAATTCTTTATTATAGATATATTTTCTGATAATAAAGAATTAAAATAATGTTAGTATGCAATTAACCTTATCTTTGTATTTTTTAGAAAAATAATATATAAAAGAAAGTATTATTATATAAATGATAATTATTATAAGTAGAGTTTTAATGTAGTTTTCTTATTATAACTAAATACAATTTTTAGATTTTAATTAATATTAAAAAACCTTATTTTGAAATATAAAATGTTGAATACACCTGGTAATTATGTATTAATCTTTATATACAAGAACATTTTTTATATATGACAATATATGAATTAAATATAAAATTCTAAATAAATTAACAATTATTACAAAAAAATAAGAATGAATTAATTGTAATTTAAATTATCTAAATATTCGAAATATAATATAGGTAATTCATATTATCATTACTTTATGGTATTCCAGATAGTGTTTGATGTTTTATAGTTAAGATATTATGAAATGTATATTTATTAATATTCTCGTAAAATATTTTTAAAAATGCACTTGTTATTTTACCGAATTATTCACAAGATAACAACTATACATAATGTTTAATTATAATTTATTAACGAGTCTGAATTTAAAAATTGCTATAGCGTAAAATAATGTCGGATAAAGTTTATATGTATATTTAAATAGAATAAATTAATGAAATAAAATTAATCATTGAACGTTTATATATAATTAAGATTATAATAATTTTTTCATTGCATTATTTTGAAATCTCTATTTCTCTATATCCCTTTATCTCTATCTTTCGATTTCAGCTATTGTATCTTGAAATATTTTATTAAAAATATTTCATATAAATAAAATAATTAATTTGAAAATTTAATAATTGGTTAGTCTAGAATATCACTGATACTACATAATTTAAATAAGTAATTAATCCGAATCGTTCTTATAAAGTATATATAAAGTAGGTGCATTACAATCGAATGACCATCGAATAGAAACAAATTTTATGTTAATTAATAAAATCTTAATTTATATAAGTAAATAGTACATTAAAATATTTGTGTACATGACTATTCAACTGAATTTATATCTGAATTAGTAGCTAATAACTACACATTGATTCAAATTTGTCTAAATTAATATCAATTTTTTATAATATAAACCACAATAGTTTAGTTAAAAAGTAATTGAATAAAATAATGGAAAATTCGTAAATGCATGATGAACATTTTTATATAGTGAAATAAGAAATTGTTCAATAGTATAGTAATGAAAAACATATATATGATTAAATTAGCTCCGATATTCGAACGACAAATATACATTTTTAGAAGTTACATCAATTTATTCGTAATAATTAAAATAATCATATAATTGTCTTTAAGTATATTAAATTTTTAATCATTAACATATTATCTTAATAGTTTTTTTAACATGTGTATAATATAATTTTAATATGTCAAACCTACAAATTTCTTAAATTTCTAAAATCTTAAAATTTAGTTGAAACTAAATATTCCAGCTATAATCACGAAGAAGGCGTGACTTTATAATTCTTCAAAAATTGCTTCTTTACTTATGCGATTTATAATATATAGTTGTATTATAATAATTAAAAATATCTATGTTATCTCTGAAAATTTATTCTGTATATAAAAAAAATTTATTGAATAAATTAAAAATCAGAAATTTTAAAGTATAATTTTTACTGCATATGAAATACTATATGTAATTACTTATTATTAAATGCAATGAAATAAAAAATAGAAATATTTAAGTACAGTATGCTTAATCACTAAATTACTTAGCACACATTGCCATTTCAATTATAGTTTCAAACCCTATTAAAACACTAAATACATTGATTAACAAATAACTGCTTGAATTATATTATATGAATTAAATGTTTATGTAGTATGATACCAATAGATTGCTGAAAACTTAAATATTATATTTCAAAAATAAAAAGCAGCTCAAGAAACTTATACCTGCATGCAAAAGGTACCTATGCCTACACGTATATATATATATATATATATATATATATTAATATAGTTTAACACGAAAGCAATATCTATCATACTTATTGTATGCTATTAACATGTCTTGTTATTAACAGGAAAGCAAATTTCAAGCAGTCTATTCAGATTCCTTAGAAACATTATAAACGATTTGTAGATATCTTGATTGGTTAAATTTCTCTTTTAATTGCAGTCACGGCGAGGATCTCATTGTTACGCCTTTTGCACAAATACTTGCCTCGCTACGTTCTGTAAGAAACAACTTCCTATCGCTCACTAATGTACCTACAAACAAGTAAGTTGGTAAAATACTAAAATACTAATTTATTACTTCAAAATTTTTGTTAAAAATTATTTGTAAAATAATAATAGTTACAAGTTAGATTTACATATTTTTTGTTTATCTTTTCAACAGAAATACGAAAATCAGTATTCATAAAATATTATTATCTAATAAAGTCTAAACTTTTTTATTTGTAAAATAAAAAAATCCTAAAAAGACCACTCTAATTCTTATAAAAAATTATTTTAATTTTCAAAGATTTTTACTCTCCTTTTAAAAAATTAACTAATATATTGTTTCAATTCGACATATATTCTTCAGAAAGCTGAGCTATTTTTATTCTAGACGTTCATTAGTACAAACATTTCATGCTTCTACATATTATATTATAATGATCAAAGAATTTAATGTTTGACATTTAAAAGATGCTTCTGTTAAAAATATTCTAAACAATTCTTCAAATTCGATTATAAGAATTTAATAAACATTGTTAAGGTTCAATAATGTTGGAATAATTGTATTATAATAGTGGATAGATTCTACAATTACATTCAATTTCTTTTAATAAATTCTTGAAATAACATTAAATATTTATTAATTATACAAATAATTATTCAAATGGAATATTATTTAAAAAAATACCAATTATTATTCAAATATATTAAATAGATATAAATACATAGCATACTTTTGTTTATGTATACAAAAAAATATTTGTATAGAAACTTATATATACTTGTATTAACTCTATAAAATAATAAATTATTTGTGAATTTAGGTTTTACTAAAATTATATTAATATAATTTATAAGACATTTATAAGAATAAATCCATAATTTATAAGAAATAGTTATAACAATTATTTATAACAAGTCGGCTAAATAATTATGATAATTATGTCAAGCTAATAAATTATTAATGAGTTAAGTTTTCATTACATGAAATATCTTGAATATAAAGAATAATTAATAATTATATTACTTATAATAGTTAAGTAATGAAACTTCAGATTTTTTATTTAATAATTGTATATAATTATATTTATATTTAATAATTATTTTAAATAAATTATAAATTATATTTAAAATAATTATATTTAATAAATTAATTGTTGTTCTATATAATTGTATTTTTTATCTTAAAAATGTGAAAAAATTACATGATAAAATGTTAATAAAATAAAAAATTTGTAAACATTTTTTAAAATAAAAATTTCTATTTTTGATTTATTATTGTATAATATTATGATTTCTTTATATATTAGTTATTAACAAAAATATTCATAAATAAGTATTTATATATATATATATATATATATATATAATAGAAAATACATATAATACAATTATCTATTCAATATGTCCTTCAATATATATATAAACAAATATAAAATATTAATATGTATATAATTTGTTTAAATTGATTGACTAATTAAGCTGGAAATTGTATGTTTATTAAAGATCGCGTAGAAGCAGCGGAGCCCAAAGCAGCAGCACACCACAACCTAGGATGCTTGTCCCCGGAGGTAGGAAAATCTTATGAATCATTTATATTTCTCCTTCATTAATTAATTTTTTGTTTACGTTATACTTGGTATACTTTATTCTGAACTATAAATTAAAAATGAAAATTATATTCTCTAAAGTAATGAAAGCAGACATTTTCAAATGAAAGTAATTTTTCTCTAAATTTCACGAACCTCAATCCTTCTTACAATAATAATTATATGAAATACAAAAATACAAATCTAAGTTTATTACGAAAGTAAATAGTGAAAAATTCTACTTTTGTTAATCTTCTTCAAGTATTAATTAAGAATATAAAATAACTCTTACATTCTGTTATAAAATATATATATTATGGTATTGGGTATATAACTCTGGTTAAGTTTTCTGCACATTTGAATCAAATTAGTTATTCATTAAAAAATGGTTACATAATTAATATAACAGAATGTTAGAGTTATTTTATTTCTTGAATTAATTAATAAATAAAGTAATGTTCAAGATTATGAATATACTACGAGTTTTTTTAATAAGTTCTATTATTATTAAAATGGCTGTGCATTATTTAACATATTTGAAAACAATTTACTCAAGTACATGCTAATAAAATCCAATCCTTCAAAGTTAGAAGAAATTGTTACCATTAGAAAGAAATCGCAATCTAATAACTTGTTTTGTAATTCAAACAACTTTAAATTATGACATCAATTTAATATTATTTTGCTTAAGGATTTCTATTTTACGATGTAAAAAAAAAAATCTTCATAATAGTCATTAACAATATTTTAAAGACGTGAAGATGATCAAATCTTATTAGCACCTTTTTATCCATTTTTAATTGTAATTACTAATTCAATTTTTGTTAATAATAATAAACGTTCAAATATTTTTAAAAGATTTAATTATGTGTAATAATATTTAAAATATAAATGAAATAAAAAGAAACATTATTATTCATGAATAATGTAAAAAAGGTTTGCGATTGTAAAAATAAAATAATGTATGTACTTAAAATTTTTAATATAAAAAACTATGAATTCTAGAAATAAAGTGAAGAAATAAAAATATTTAAATTAATTATTATTTATGTCATACGTTTATAAAATATTTTAAGAATATTGGATATTTAGTTAAAATTGAATATATATATAATTATGTAAGTATATATGAACGGCTATTCTGTATTTACCATAAAATTTATACATAACATATTAATTTCATATTACCTATTAATATAATCAATATACATATGTAGAATCAAATATATATATATATATATTATAAACAATTTAAATTTATTTATATTTAATTATATAAAACTAATAGATAAATCAGTTATCAAACTGAATGATATATAAACAATTCATAATTACAATTTTTATGTTAAATAATTAACACAATTACAAAATTTTATTTATATTTATATTATGAATAATATTTTTATACAAAAAAGGTACTGAAATAAATAATTTTAGTACGAAATTTTTTATTGTTTTCACAATGAATATTTTTTCGCTTTTATATTTTTTAGAAAATTTATATAAAGTTATACAATGAGTATAATATTAATAGTAAATAAAATTAATATAAAATTTAAGTTTTTTATTTCTCAAAATATATAAAAATTAGGAAATATTGAAATATTTTTTTTATTAGAAAACAATTTTTTTATAATAATAATTTTATAATAATTTTATAATAAAAGTTTATAATAGCTTTATATTATATATTATAAATACCAAATAATAAAAATATTATTAATGGAAATTGTGTATAAGTATTTTCGAAAGAGATTATTTGTTATATCAGTAATATTAAATTTGTTTTAAGCGTTATTTTATCATCAATTTAATCATGTTAATCAATCTTAATGCATCTTAATTATAATAATAATTATTTATTATGCTGATTTTACTATATTTCTATATTTTTGTATTATTATTATATTTTTCTATAATGTTCTTTACCATCATTATTATATCATTGTTGTATTATTCTATAATTTGCACAAATCTTTCTTGAAAAATAAAATTCATTATTAAAGATTGTTCAAGATACTGCAATATTTACAGTTTGCTTATCTATTCGTGTCCTAGAAAGTAAATGGTCTCATTTATTGGTATTATTAAATTTTCTAATTGGCGTAGTTATACTAATCATATTTATTCAAATTATTTGTAATGAATGCAAAAACTATAATTTTATTTATTCTTCGATGTTTACAGAAGAACCCTACATGAAACTAGCTGTCGAAACAATGGAAGAACTAGATTGGTGCTTAGATCAGTTAGAAACTATTCAAACCCATCGATCCGTATCTGATATGGCATCTTTAAAGGTAAATATTGTCATTATATTCAGACAATTTTTATTTTAACACGAGATTTAGATTAGTCATTTCGATACAAAAATATCGAATAAAACAATTTTTGGTTTTTTTAATACATTTTGCTTATGCATGTAGTTGAGTCTTCATTTTTATTTATCTTTATAAAAAATTTATTGAGTTTATAATATTACAATTTGTAACAATTAAATTACTTTGTAAAATAATATTGATTTGATAAATAAATTATACAAATAATAAATAAGATAAACCATAAGTATTAAGGATTTTATTTAATATGAATAATTTAATACATATATTTGATAATAAATTATTCAAGGAATGCTTATATCAACTAAAAGTATGTGTTATAATTATTAATTATATATAATATAATTATTATATTATATTTATAATTATATAATATAATATAATTATTATATTATATTATAGTTATTATATATATATATATATATATGTATAGTTATTATAGATATATTAAGGTATAATATAAACAATAGTTAATAATTAAAAAGTAAGATTTTGAAAATGGCTTTGATGAAAATCAAAATGTAAGTATTCATTTATTAATACTAATATAAATATTTTAGAAAAAATAATTCATGCACTAGTTTTCTATCATAAAATTTATGCAAAAAAATTTGTATGAAATAATGTTTTATGAAACTATTGAAGAAACGCAGATAGTTCCAAAAAGAAATTCAATAATACAAATACAAAGTTGGTTTGCATTAAAATTTAGTTTAGATAATATTTGTTTTAGCTCTAACACGTATATTATACATATATTTAATAGTTATACATATATTTAATGTTAACATAAATTCTAACTTATTATATTTTGTTTTTATTAGTTTCTCTATCTTTTATAAAAATTTTAATAATTCTTAAAAATTATTCATAAGTACATATTACTTTTATTATTGTAAAATGTTGTTTATACTATTACTATTTATTTCCAATATTTCATTTTTTATTTATCAATTCATCTAATTTATTATAATAACTAAATATTTCCTGAAGCTACATATTATAAAAATTTTATAATTAGAAAAAACAATTTTTCATGTATTCTATATATGAATATTGCTTCTCTCTATATATAATATAAGTAATTGATATATGTTATCTATACAGTATTAGGATTTAAAAAGTAAATCATTAGATCGTAATTTATAAGAAAAATTTTGAAAATTTCAAAATTTTTATTAAAATTATTAAAACATATATCACAATTCAAATTTCTCTTATCTAAATAATAAAGAATTCAATGAAGAATTTTAAATTACATATGATTTATATTTGATTATGTATTATTATTTAATTTAATATTTATTAATTGGTTAATTAAAATTTTTATCTTTTATTTTTTAAAAGTTCGTCTGCACTGGAGTTTCATATTTCTTGTATAAATTCTTATCTATTACAAAGAAATTTCTAAGTTTCGTGACAATTTTTCAATCTAGTATTACCTTTGAAGATGAAAATATCATAAATTAAAAATATAAATATATATGCTTATAAAGATATATTTATAAAATATTATACCGCCTAATTTATAAGTTTCCTATACTATATTTTTGATATTTAAATCATAAATTCTTAACAATGATATCGACACTTAAAAATTATATTTTTTGTAGATATTTTTCTATAATCTATCTAACTCTATGTAAACTTATTTAAATATTTTATAATCTATCTAAATTTATTCAAATATTTCAGATTTTAAAAATCTTACTTTTAAGTTATAGATAAATAAAATTTTCCAAATGAAACTAAATATCAAGATAAATTGCGATAATACTAAGTATATATTTAAATCTAGATTTAAAAGTTTATATGCATAATTGTAGCTTAATAATTAATAATTAATAAATTAATTAGTGGAAAAATACAAGGAGAAAATATATAAAGTACAAAATTCATTTTAATTAGTTAATACTCAAAATAAAAATGTATATTTTTTATTTATATGACATTAAATTTAGTAATTGTATGCTTTTTCTTTTTCGTATGGTTTTCATAAATATTAAAACACTTCTATTGCATTTATTAGATGAATAATAATTCAAATAAAAAATCTAACTGAAAAAATATGCTAAATTGTACAAAGTATTTAATTAAATAACTATTAATTTGTGAATTTTTTAAAAATATTTATTATTAATTTATATATTTCACGAGTAAATAATATGTTAACAAATTAAATTCTTCAAAACAAGTTTTTCCCTATTTTTTCCAGTTTAAATAAAATATAGTTTCTATAGTTATAATCATTTTTAATTAATTCGTTTATTATTATTCAAAATAAGTTTTGTTTGAATTAAAAATATTAAAATGATATACTTTCTTCTTTTGAAGGTCTTATATAATATGAAAAAATTGCAATTGTAATGACAATAAAAGAATTTTTGTAAATTCAATATGAAGTTTACTTTATACAAATCGAAATAAAATTATAATGTTATTTATAATTGTATATATTCAATTATATAATTGTAGTACATTTTAAAAATATAAACATTAATATATAATAAATATTTTAAGTCATATTAAAATAATCATAAAATATTTAATGTTCTTAAAAACTGATTAAGTGTAAGTTTAATAACCATAAATATCCATGTTAAAATATATTAAATAGTATAATGTACATGATTTTTATTTAATTATAACTTAAAATTTGTTTTTTCTTCAGTAATTTTATGTTAATTATATTTTAAGAATGATTACTTTCTTATTTAATATATTAAATGCAATATATTATGCTCCTTTTAATATACTATATTCCTATTAATAACAGGAATATGATATTAATAAGTACTATCATAATATTGATTTTACGTTTGCTATAATTTATTTGAATATAATGTATATTCAAATACATTATAAATTCCATTTTTTTCCAGTTTTCTAAAAAAATTAAATAAATTAACGGTAAATTTTTAACTATCTTTAGTACATTAATGGTAATAAACGATTAAATTTCAATAAATTAAATATAAATTTCATCATTAATGTTCCCAATGAATTCAAAGTAAAAATTATTTTTAACCACGATCATTTTTATGTTAATTTTTATTATGCTATAATCTCTAAAATACAGGTGGAATTTATAATTAATAATACAAAAGCAGTCTCATATCAATCACAAATTTTTATCACAGAGGTAAATGACGTAAAACAGAATAATTTTATCATAATTGGATATTGTAGATCAAGTATTAACTGAAGCATTTTCGACGTATATCTATCAAAATGTTAAGGAGTTTTTCTCTATTAGCACATAGTATCTGTCTTACGTGCCAACTTTTTGTTGCACACAAATCTATATACAATTACTCTCTTGTATACTCGTATCACTGTACTCACAAAAAGGATTTAAAATCTGACATGCTTATCTGTGCCAATCATATTTCTAAAAGCGGTCAATAATAATGTGAAATTTCTATGACATTATTGCAAACTGAATGGCTTTGCCTCCATTTATTTATTAGCTCAATGTCATTTCGTACTATTTGGAGCATTAAGCAGACGATCTCGTCTTCTTAAAAGATTAAATATTATGTAAGTTTTATTACTCATCTACTTACTAGGATTGAAAACAAAATAGTGATTGAATAGGAATTAAATATTTTAAGAATATATTTACAAAGTGTTTATATGTGCATATAGGTTGTGATATAAACTTGACTAGGTATAATTTCAAAAGTAAAACAGCACAAAGCAGTAAATGCATTTGATTTAAAAATTAATAAATGAAATGAATAATGAAATGAATACGAAATGTAATAATATCTATATCATTACTTTTTAATATCATTTTTATATAAAAATTAATCGGTTTACTAAAATTTTTATTGAATTTAATTTTTAAAAAACTGAATATTTTCATGCTCAATTCTATTTATGATTGACTTTTTCAAAAATAAACTTTATAGTTTTGGTTATTAAATAATAATTTTCACATCAAAATATATTTGTATTTATATTTATAAGTATTTACGATTTATGCATATTTATATATTTTATTTTATTAAAATAAAATAATTCATATAATGTTTGTATAAGTTTTAATTAACTATTATACTTTTTCTCATGAATTTTCCATTAAACATGTTTTACACTAGAAAAATATTGATATAAAAATTGTTTATATGAATTCTAAATATATTATGCAAAAAATAAATTGTTTGTGTAAACAACAATTTGATTATATTGTAATAATGGAAATAATATCAAAACTTTTAATATCACATTATTTATCATTTATCATAAATAAGATACAAATTATTATAATATAAAATTATTATAAATAAATTTGATAGTCCATTTTTTTTATCATGAACTTATTGTTCAATGACGTAGATATCTTTTCAAAATAAAATATACGTGTAAATAAGATAATGGAAAATTTGATGTACTGAAACACTTAATTGCTTATTTTAAAGTTAAATTACTTTGTCAATTTTTTTTCGATTTTATAGTAATATAAAATATACATAATATTTCAATTTATTTAAATATACATATATTTATATTAATATAAACACAGTTGAAACTAAAAATGTATAAATTCAATATATTATTAATTTTCAACGTATTATTTCATTAACTATCAAATACAAAATATGTTTGACATATAGATTATTTACATTATTATTTTTAGAAAACGGAATTTTAGATTAAAATTGGGAAATGCTGCGATTATTATTAAATATTATTGTCGCTATCAATATTATCTACTATTATATATTATTTTTACCTTTTAAATTTTTTTAAAGATCTAATTTCTGAAGTATAAATTTGAGAGGCGTTAAAAATTACTTTAATTTAATATATTTTTATAGAGAATCGAGGCAAGATTTTGCCATTTAAATATATTAGAAAAGATATTTATGACGATCGACAAAGGCAACAATATGAATCGAGGTCTCATAATACTTTCATTGTAAAATAAAAGATTATATTCGGCCATTGGGGCGCAGAACCTTTTAAAAAGGCGAGAGGGCACAGAATACCAAGAGTATCGTCAACGCCTAATACGCTCGATATAAGCTTCAGAGCGATCGCGTCTTCGCCTTATAACACGGACTTGGGTCAAATCGTACGCTGGACTTCTCTCTCCTTTTCACTTCTTTTCCCTTGTGGCTGCATGTTGTCACCTCTCGCGCCAATATCGTCTGGCTGAACTTGCCTATTTCGGCCTTCGCGTCGCTCCTTTTCGGGGAATCTTCTATGATATGCTCGTAAACCCGCTGTTTCTCTACCTCGGTGTCGGTTTCAGAGCGAGATGTATACATCAACATTTATTTCCGTGAAAACATTACATCTTCGAGCATTTTTCTTAGCCTCGCATCCACCTCGCGTCAATATCGAGCGCACCTCAATTGCGCCTTGCCCACTTTTTTACACTTCGTCTTCGATCGCGGTTGGCGATACGAGGTTCAGAGGAACGCTTTTTCTTCTTACTTCCGTCAATTTCTATTCAGGGAAGACCATATCTGTAATGACATTTTCTGTTTTTCATTTACCGCTGTTCACTCTGCACCCATATTTCTTCAACTCCCTGCTTTTATGGATGACAACCGCATCTGCAGAATATTGTACCCGAACGTTTACGGAATATGCAATTGGTATAGGATGAAAATGTTTCATACAGATACAACACGAGACAATAACGTTAAGAATAATATAGTATTACCTATTTAAGTGAAATTTTGCTAAGCGTTATTGCACACAACGATTTTTTAATAAAATATCACCTTCTAATATAACAAGCATAAAATAGATTGCTCAACTTGTAATAATCAACTTTAAGAACCGAGAAAAACTGAATGATCTAAAATTGAGTTAAGTTATGTAATGCTCTATTTGAAATGCTTAAAAATTTAAAGTTACAACAAAAAATTAAAACATTAAATGACTATGAATGCTTAAACAAAATTAATTTTGATTGATTTCCTTATAGTTCAGTTATAAATAATCTTCGATTTTTATTTTTTTTTTATTTTTGTTTTTAAAGTTTTTATTCAAATTATAAATATTCTTTTTATCATTGATAAATTTATTTTTTGTATTTTTCTCAGTTATAAAATTTACTTTACGTTAATTTTATAAGAAGAAATAAAAATATATGAAGCTAATAATTTAATTTACAGCATTAAAAAAATACTTTTTAATGATGTATTTAAAAATTATCAATGAAAATATATAAAATGAATAATAAATTATACGTTTACTTGATTAACTTTTTTAAAAGGCAAATAAACAGTGCATCTTTTCAGGAATGTATATTTATTTTTATATTCAACGTATCTCATAATTTTTTAATATAGACGTTTCATATAGATATCTTTAATATAGCAACAAATAAAATTTTGTATTATATTTAATACACATGATCATATCCATTCAAATTTGCTATACTTTTTGTAGTTGAAATAAAATTAAAAAATTTATTAATCATTTCGTTAGTATAAATTACTCAGTTACTACTATGAATACATAAGTACTATAGTTATAAATATACAATGGAAATATTAACGACTAACTTTATTTCTTTATACATGTTGTTTATAATTGCTTAGTTAAGATATAAAACTTACTTTCTGAAACCAAAACAAAATAATACTATTTATTATTCATATAACTACTTACTATAATGCAAATCTAGGACCAACAAATTATGTATTTATAATCAAAAATTCTTTGAAAGATTTTTATTTATAATTTTACAAGTAAAGCTTTAAAGTAACGAAAATTTTGATAAAAGATATGTACAACAATAAATAATAAATTTTTGAAAGCAATCTGTTTAATTTGCAGTAATTTTGTTTCTTTTCTGCTAATTTAAATCAAGATGTTCAATGGAAGAGATACAATAATATAAGTTTAAAAATTTTGAACTAGGTTCAATATACAAGTATTCTAACATTCACAGATTTAGTTTCATTTTCAGAACTATTCATAAATAAATTAATTGCAAAATTGAATTAATCTTATAATGATTTTAATTCTGTTAATTAATACATAAATTTTATATCAATAATATTATTGTGAATCAATTGAATATCATTAATTCGTAAAAATTTTATACATAATACTAAATACATTTTAAATATTAGATATATAGTAAACATTAAAATAATTTTATATATATAAAAATAAATCTTTTATTATACTTCCAAAGCATATATGAATATAATCTATATTTGAAATTAATTTTATTACAGTTTAAAAGAATGTTGAACAAGGAATTATCTCACTTTTCGGAATCCTCTAAATCCGGAAATCAAATTTCCGAATATATCTGCAGTACTTTTCTCGGTAAGTAAATTATTTTTATTTAATAATTAAAAATTAATCATTTAGCTTTCTATTGAAATAAAGAAACTAAATACTTTTTTGTTTGCATAATTTATTTTCTATATAAATTATATTTTTTTTCACTGGACTCTGAACATTATTTGTATTCAGTTAACAACTCTATGAAATTGTATAGTGGAATTTTCATTATATTAAAACGGTTCGGAGACAAAAAATTTACAAAATATCTTTTTATTTACTTTTATTAAACTTATAACAACATATATGGAACATATATCTGAGATATTAATTAAAACTAGCTTAAAATAAGATGAAAATAAAAGAATTTTTAATTTATATAAGTAAATAGTTAAATGAAAACATTACTTTAAATACAATACAAATTTGTTGGAAAATATGTATTTTCTGTACTACGCACTATCAAAAATTAAAATATAAAATAAGATAAGCTGGTTAATATATTTAGTTAAATTACTTTTAAAACATTTATCTCCGTTAATTAGCACTAATCATAATATTGCAAATTATAAAATTGATACATTGAAATAAAATTGGAAATGATGAATAGTTCAAAGTAAAACTATTTTTATTTAAAAAAATATAAAAAATGAAATACACATGTTTATACTTGATATTAACTTATAAATATTTTATTCAATATTTTTAATTTAAACATTTCAAATTTCTATATTTCGAAGTTTTCATTAAAAAAAAGTATTAAAAGATATATTGTTACTATATACAAATTGCATAAAAATCCATTTAAATACCATATTTGTAAAAGAATCTTATTCTACTACTACTACTTCTAAACGAAAGTACTATTTAATGAAAATATTTAGAATTCTAGTCTTTATTTATTATTATGTAATTTTGTCATCTATTCATGTTATTTAAACGTATACATATAAGGATTCATAGATTCCTTTCAAAATATGTAAATATTTTAAAATGTCTACTGTTTATATATAAAATTGTATACCTATATTAATGAATTAATGTTTGATACTTTTTTTATAAATAAATTAAATTGCTTATTAATTAGCGAATTGCGCATTAATAATATAGTAGTTTTAATTAGTGAAGTAGAATCTGTGAAATATAATTTTTTAAATGATTTATATACATGGGATAATAAATGTTGACTTAATTAATTTCGTTAAACAGTTTTTCTATTTTATCCATTTTTCTTTTATAATACATTTTTTAGTACCAGTTTCATTGATTAAAATCGCTACTTGAGAATAATATTTAAAAATTGATGTTGAAAATATAGCCTTAAAAACGTAGTTCAAAAATTAAAAAGTGCTAGCATGAAAGATAATAATTCAAACTGCAGAAGCAAATAATGAATAATAATTAGACGAATGGCATATATTATATATATATATATATATGTAATATTATGTACTATATTTATATTAAGTCTATATTTATATATATATATATATATATATATATATATATATGTATAAATACGATTAGATTATCAATATTTTAAAGGTATGTTACTTTACTAAAATATCTTATGTTATAAATGTACATAATTAAGTGTATAAAAACTTGAATATCTAAAGCCAGCTATGTATGGATTTAGTTTCCCTATTTAGATAATTAAATTAATTCAAACATTATCTGATTATTAAGAAAATATTTACAAAAATAATAAATGTATGAAATATTATTAAATATTATTTAATAATTTAAGTAAATCATGATAATTAATTTAATATTAAGTAAATACTATTTGAATCTAGTGATATTTCCAAATTTTAATAAATAACTTATCTTTGGTATATTTCTAATTCATTTGAAAAATATAAGATTTTCATAGCAAATTTAGTGATGATAATATTCTCCGTTTTAGTATTTTATTACCAATATAAAACAAAAAAATTGCAATTTGAAATAATTTCAAACAAAAATTTTATTGTATAAAATTTTAGTTGAAATTTTAATTTTATTTTATTATTCCATAAACATAAAATGCTATTTGTCGAGATCAGAATTACTTTGATTCTACATAAATTCAAATTTTCGGTAAGTAAAGGGTAAACTGTTACATCAAATAGTAAATCCATTATATTGTATATTGTTTCTTTCTCTACTTTCTATCATTGTAGCAAAACTTTTTAATACATTTAATAGGTATTAGACTGTAGTTAGGCATTGAATTTTTACAATTTTTATTTAATGACGAATGGCTTAATTAAAAAAGTTTTTAACGAATTTCGAAATGTTGTTGGCGCCAACAGTTAATCTGATTTTAAAGTTTACTCGTAAGATTCAGATTTATTTATTTTTCCTGCACTCTATTTTATACTTACCGTGTAAGAGCTTTGTCCTCTATATTCACACATATACATATAGAAATATTTATATAGAAAGGCAATGGCCAATTGTACACAAGTAATTGAATTAAAATATGCAAAATTCTATGTAACTAACAACTTTATTATTTCATAAGATTTTTTATAATTATTATATTTAGCTTTGTTTAAAATTTTAAAAATAGAAATTGTTGCATAGATAGTATGGGGTTAAAGAATAAAAAATGTTGGCTGAATCGATGTCTTGTTTCCATTACATATCCGATGGGACATAGACAAATTGCTGACAAAAATCATAGACTAAAATATGCTTTTGTACTGAATAAGTCTGATATTTATAACTTGTCATATGTTTACATGGAAATGTTTATCTGATTTATCTACTTCTATGTATATATACATAATTCTATAGCTTATAGAATTTTAATATTTCTTTATATTATTTTAAAAATGCTAATAACATTTATTAATAATATTAATTATTCTAACTAAAAATTTTAATAAGTTTTATTTTTATTTTAAACAAGTGTAAGACAAATTTTATTTCTATTTGTCAAATACTTACATGTAGTAGATAACTCAGTAAATCTTTGTATTAAATATGTAGTGAAAAAAGATTCGTGAATAAATAATTAAATATATATAATAAATAACTAAATAAATAAATGAATAAGAGAAATATAAAGAATTGATTTATAAGCATGCATAATATAATGAATGTATAGAAAAAAATTTATTTTAATCATTTTTATTTAAAAATTATGAAAGTACTAAAAGTACAATTGTTTTTATCAACTATATTCTAAATTATCATTATAACTATGTATTTATATTTTTCAATATTTACATTGGATATTTATTATATTGTTGTATTTGTTGTTTCTTGTGATTTTGTAAATTATTGTAACAAATATAATACAGAAAAAATTGTTAGAATACAATTAACTGACTCGTTTTCTAAAATATATTTTATATAATATTGTTTTTATTAATATCATTTTGAATTTTTATATAAAACGTTTTATTATATAAATATTAAGAACAAGATTAATATGGTTTAACATGTATTAATTAATATTCATATAATAATTATATATATTTAAACTTTTACCATTGTAATTAACGTAATTTTGAAAGTTCTAATGTTATAATATACAGTTATAGTACACGGAAAGATTCTGTATAATGTATGAAAATTTTAAATATATTTTCTTTTATTTAATTTATGATAATCTCGTTCAAAGAATAATTCTATACATAATAAAATCTTTGAATTATTTATCAATATTGTTACATGTGATATCGTAGTATTCGTCAAAGTAGACTATATATAACTTTGATAAATTAGTCTTGACAAGCACAAGATATATCAGTAGGAGGATTAAGTAAAGAAAACTTTAAAACATTGAGAGAGTAATAAACTTTTTCTTGATTTTATATTTTATTTAAAAATGTTCATTATCTTATAAAATTTATTCACTTTCAGATAATTCTATATCATTTTAATAAAAACTAATTTTATTATATAATGAATAGAACTTATTCAATTACTTAAAAGAACACTAAATTATACTAAATTATATATTATTATCATATAATGGATTTTTTTTAAATGTCATTCATTTGGATCCATGATTACAAAAATACCAGAAAATAAGTGAAATGTACAATTTCAGAAAGTTTATAGATAATTAAATGTAGTTTATTTGAACATCAATCAATGAATAATCATCCATATTGAAAAATCTATTATTCGGATAAAAATTTTTATACTTTTATATACTGAAATTTTTAAATACATAGTTGGTAATGAAATCTCATATAATATAATTTTCATTTTAATAATAGAAATGAATACAATAAAATGTATTCACATTTACAAAATTTTATTAAAATCAATATAAGATTAAATTTTTTCAAATATTTAATAATACTAATATAATTTGAACATATTAAAATATAATTTTTTAATATTTTATAATAAATAATAATCTTGTTATTTACTATAAAGTTATACTTCAGTTTATTCAATAAATATTGAGTTATTTGAAATAATTAACTTTGAAATAATCTATACAACAGTAATAAGCATAGAATTTAACAATAAAAATTTTGTTTGTATAAACCTTAGCCTAATTAATAACTTTAGTATTTAAAATGTATATATTTAAAATTAAGCATTAGATTCGCAATTTATTTTTTAAATAAAATATGAATTTTTTAAATATTATATTTTAAGAATTTTATAATCTTAATTTATTATTAGTTACGTCCTGTTAATTATTTTTAATTAAATTCAAATTATATTTAATTTGAAGTTAAGTTTTAATTTCTCAATACAAATTCAACTATTTAATAAATAAGAAAAAATAAATTTAATTTAAAATTAATGCTTATTATAATTTCTTTAACAATATATATATACTTATGAATATTAAATACAATTTTAAACGATGTAATACAAAAATGAAGTTATTACACATACTTACTAAACATGCATACACGCATATGTACTCATCCATACTCGCGTGTGTTTTTATAGCATAATAATTTTACATCATATAAAATTATACAACATATTTTAAATTAAAATAGTAGTTACTTAAAAAATAGATCAAAATATAAAATTTAATAATAATACTCGCTGAAATTGCAAAAAGAAATATTAAAAAGAATGGTTTCAGTTAGCTTAGATTCTTTATAAAATATTAAAAGATATCAAAAGAACATTTGTCGTTAATTTAAATGAAATACAGTTTAATAGTGTAAATTGTATAAGTAATTGATTTGTACCATAGAATAGTAAGACCACAAAATTTATCTGTGAATATAGAAATAAAAATAAATATTACATTAAAATATTTTAAGTATAATGTATATTCAAGTATATAAGTATTGCATATTAAGTACATACCGTAATGAAAATAAGTAATTTATATACATTTATGATTTGCGTAGTGCTCAAAAACATTTCATTTTACAAATTTGAATCAAGAACTTCGACACATAATTATTTCTTCCAAATATCTTATATTAAATAAATCATTTGAAATGATATAAAAACTAATTAATATTAAAAATATGTTACTACACATCTGATTATTATTATCAAAGCATAAAAACTGTAACGGCGTTAAATTTTATATATGCAATTAGCAATTATGGAGTTATATTTATGCAATTAGCATAAAATAAAAATATAGTAGCAAATCCCGTAAATGGACATTGCATCACAAAAAAATATTTTAATTTTCTTTGAAATTTTTCGGCTCGTCGACTGCATTTTTTATTGGGCAACTCCAGACTGTTTTTCATCATTCTATTAAAATATAATAGTGAGAAAAAGTCTCGAGCTCCCCGCTGTAACCCGTTAATTCGTTCGGCAGACAAACAGCAGGAACTGGACTTGCCCTCGCTGTGTGTCGACGATGCGCTGTCCAGTGGAATAGATAGCCGTGCGGCCAAGAAGAAAGATCGTGCCCAGCGGGGTCCAGCTGCCATGTCACATATAAGCGGTGTCAAGCGACCCCTCACTCACACCAACAGTTTTACCGGCGAGCGGGTACCACTTCATGGCGTCGAAACGCCACACGAGGAGGAGCTCGGAAAGGTGGGCACCATTGTTTGAACCTCTTGTACGAGCCCTTGTACCCTTTAAGCATAAATCGCCGCATTTTTATACTTACAATATTACAGAAGTCTTATCCTGTCTACTTCCATATTAATCTAACAATTTAATTATTAATTCAGCATATCACCTTTTATTTTCATCTTACTTTATTCTGTGAGTACATATTCCATTCAAACATTCTAATAAACTTCCTCAAGCAGTCACTCCGCTCTCTTAACCACCAGTTAATTCTGTCTTCAGGCGATATCTATTGATATTATATACAATAAGGCATACATGTAATTTTATTTATATATTCATTCCATATAAATAGATAAACCATTCTCAAATATAATGAATAATTATTATTAATTATTTGTTATTTCTCAAAAGTTGAAAAATTCAAACTGTAATAGTTTTCATGAGTGCTAATGATTAGAAATGCCTAATTACGGTGTCTGTCAATTTCACATGTCAAACGTTATATTGTTAATCGTTATAAGTACCTGTAAGTTTACGTTTATTCGTTGAATTTTACACACTTAAATGTTTAATCAAATATAATATATCATCAATTATAAGAGCAATAAAATTTCAAGTAAATTATTTTTATAGTATTTAAATATTGAATTCTTGAATAATTATGAATCACCAAAGAGTACTGTCATAATTTGATTTTTAATCTTTGGAAGATGTTTGAGAACTAAAGAGAACGTCGATTAAATATAAATTTTACGACTTTTGTGTGAAATGCCTTAATACTAAAGTAAAGTGGATTTAAAAATATATATTTAGCATAACTATTAAATTTAACTTCTTACTTCTTAATTATGTAAGTATAATTAAAATACCAAAATGAAGAATAAGAACAATGGATGCAAAAATATTATACTTACACTTAATATCACTAATATATTATTCACTGAGTTCGATACATTTCAATTCTGAGGCACAGTTTAATTATTAATTGATCACATTTAAATCATATTCATTTTTATTATTAAAATAATAAGGGATTAAAATAATATAGAATATTTTATAAAATTAGTACATATTATAAAATGCAATAACAAATAATCAATATTGAATTTCAATTAAAAATTAATTTATATTAAATATATCAAAAATCAGTATTTACATTAAATAAATAGATTTAAAAATTAAATATAATTTTAATATATTTATTCATAAATTTATAATTATTTATAATGTACTTAATTATAATTGAAATGTCTAAATATTCAAATGCGCTTATATTTATTCTATTATTTTTTATTACAATCCGATTATTCCTCAGCTTGTACAAGTAATAAAACCATATACTTCTCAGCTTATAGAATATGTAATGAACACTATGATTTCAAAATATTTTTAATACCGGATATAATTCCTTAAAGAATAGTAAAATTTTTTGTCTCATAGTTCTTGCAAATTCGATAAATATTGTGAAATATTTTTCGAATCTACAGAATTTTAAATTCCAAAGCTGCATAATTGATAACTAATAATAAAAATTGTTTATACAAAATTGTTCTTATTTTGTAATTGAAAAATTATTTTTTATATAATTATTTAAATGAAAAAATACGAAATATAAAATTATTTTCAAAGATAATTTAAAATATATAAAGTAAAAATAAAAAGTATTAAGTAACAGAATTATTATATAAATGAGATGTTATTCTGAACGGTATTTTCTATGATGTAATAGTAAAATATTTTAGAGGAAAACAGTTTTTATAATGGATTGATATTTATATATTTAATCACGTCGAATACATAATAAGGTAAAAAATAGTTCATCTATATATTTAACAATATATATAATTGCTAGCTATATTATGTCAGAATATATTTCTGACCAAGTCTAGTATTTATATAAAAAATTATAACTATGTTATATTACAGGTTTTTAAGTAAATTTTTTTACTTTATTTATAGTTTCTTGTTTATATGACATTAAAAATTTTATATTGTTAAGAACTGTATTTATTAATATATATTTATTAAATAAATATGTAATTAATTTTTAAAGTAACATTAATTATTATAGGGAAGCCAAAATTATATTAATAAATTAAAAAATAACTAAAATAAATATTTTATTAAATTTCTAAAACAAGCAGTATAGAACATTCGAAACAGTACATTAAGAGATGTAATGTATATAAATGTAAGTGTGTATAAATAAATTCATAAAATAATGAAATCGTACTATTTATGAATTGTTCTTGAATTTTAGATTTATCATACATTCTCCTGTCATTATTTTAATAATTGTCACCTAAAAGATTGTTCGTTTTCAGAAACAATTATTTAATAATTAAGTTTTATTTGAAAAAATTATAATATATAAATTTATATTAAATTTTGTTATAGAATATCATGTTCTAATAATTTCAAATTAATTTTTTAAATATTTAATATAAAATTTAATATAAAATTTAATATAAAATTTGTGAATCTATCATAAATTAGAAATTAGTCTTTGATTTGTGTTCATAGAAACTCATATTCATAGAATATCTTAATTGTAATCTTCAAATGAAAAAGTGCTACATACTTTATCTTATGAAATATTTTTCGATCGTGACAAATGATACAAAAACGAAAATGAAAAAGCTTGTACTTTATCTTACGATGATTGTCTTTATTAAAACATAAATTTAAAAATTTCATATTAAAAGTTCATTTTTTATTTTAACCAATTTTAACTAATTAAATACAATCTAGAATACATTTTGTTATAATAATTTTTAAAGCTTGAAGATTTATACTAAAAATTTTTATGACTTTTTTCGTAATTATATTTGTGTAAAGTAAACTGAAGTACCTTTAATTACGACTATTGAAATTTATCTATGCTTTTTGATAAAGTTATTATCATAAGTGATTGTTATACAAAATTGACCTTTGTAAACGCTAAATAAAATTAAAATCAAATTATATCACTACTTTAGTTGTCTTAATTTATTAATTTTGTCATAGTACGCATATAAAAATTAATACATATTTAATACAATACTTGTCTGCTTTTTGTATTGCAGTTATTAAGCGATATCGACAAGTGGGGTATCGATATTTTTAGGATAGGCGAGCTAAGCAATAATCGACCACTAACCTGTATCGCTTATACCGCTTTTCAAAGCAGGGACCTTTTCAAGATTATCATGATCCCACCCAAGGTTTTCGTCACATTCGTTATGACACTCGAGGATCACTATGTCAAAGATAATCCTTTTCACAACAGTCTTCATGCTGCCGATGTTACACAATCCACGCATACTCTACTTAATACTCCTGCTCTTGAGGTAAGCTGCACGACCAATCTGTATGAAACAGTTATATTTCAATATCTCTGTCTTTGTCTTATAAATGTCAATAAATAGTATAAAAAATATTTCCTATGCAACAGAAATAAATTTGCATTATTACATTTATTTATTTATTTTCAAACTTACCATTGAAGAACATTCCCTATTTTAAGTCGTAATAAAAATAACTTAATTATATAATAAATATTTATTATATTATATATAAATTATTATAAATTATAATACATTATATATAAATAATATATTCTTCATCTAATTTTGATATTAGTAAAAACTAATTTAATAACTAATCAAATAACTAGACAAATCTAAGAAGTAATATTATTTTTTATAATTAATAATGAATTGTATTCTGATAGTCAAAGTTATTTTATACAATTTTGTGTGCCTTTTTTTAATAACTAAGATTTTAATTGGAATTAGTAATAAATTATGTATAATATTATTAATTAATAATATTGATATTGATAAACTGATAAAAAAAATATAATTTGGAATCTAAAAAAATATAAACCTACTAATTACATAAAAATTGTCATTACATTATTTTATATTTGCGATTTGAATAATTTAAAGAGTTATAATATTTCAAAAAAGAAAGAAAGAGAGAGAAATAAGAGAAATTAAACTAAAAAAAATTCTTATATAGATATGCATGACAGACAAACTATAGCTCATATCTTCTTCTTGACTTATTCTTGTGCGTGTAAGCTGAACGATAAATTAATCACCAGAGATTGATTTATTCTTTAACGTTCTACTATTCGCTACTGCCATTGTAAGCGTAATTTGTAATCTTGTGATGCTGCATTTTAGGCGACACTAACTGATCTGCTACGCAAAACTAAAATATTGAGCATTATACGTGATGTTGCGGCAGGCATTTATTTATGAGTTCTGCATTATTTCAAATATAGATCGAAAAGATTTATATTAGTTTTATATTAATTCAAGATACAAAGCAATTTGCGAGAAAGAAATATCAACACGAAATTAATTTGTAATAATTCGGATTTTTTAATAAATATAAATATAAATATGTATTTATTAGAACTTAAGGAACAATATAATGTGTATATTTTGGAATCTCAATCAAACTAAGAGCTCCTAAATTTATATGACAAATTTGGTAATAAAATCTATTAATTTTAAAGTTAATTTTTTTACTAATCTAATAATAAATGTAAATATATTAATATATAAAAGAATTAAATTTGAATTATTTGAATTTTTATTAAAATTGTATATAATAACTACTTAAATCTAATAATTAAAATTATTCTGTGCATTAACATAATTATAAATAATATAATAAATTAAAAAATTATGTGTTTAATATGCAAGAAAATACATGGTTAATTGCACGATAAGATATTAATAGAATATTTATATAAATTGTAAACAAGGTATAAAATCGATAAATTCTACAGCAAAACATGAATATTACTTGTATTATGTGTCATCACTTGAAATATCAAAATTTTGTGATTATAATTACGAAGAAATAAATTAGTACGTTGTGAAAGGTTTATTTATGCTTATAAAAATGAGAGGAAGAGTAAAAATAATAATATAAGTTAAAATATTCTCACTGTCATATTATTAACTATTTGGTGATTTTACATTGAGTCTTAAAAGAACTTTAGTCGTTCTATTATAAATCTTTATCCATCCACAGCGAATGCTCTGATGGTTGTTTTATCGATAATTTGAGGTTAAAGATGTAATTTTTGTTTCCTTTGTTTCATGAAACTCGCAAATCATTTAAACAGATAGAACTTATAGAATATTAGAAATATTGATCTTTACCGAGTAAACTGATTACTTATGCACATGGTACTGTGAAAAAATGTAAATATAAACTAAAAAAAGATATGAATATAGTATATTATAATTTAAATTAAAATATACTAAAATATATTAAAATATATAAAAATTGAATTTTAAAATAAAATTTTGAAATCCTCTTTTTTATTAAATAAGTTAATAATAAAAATCAAAGCAAAATTTTAACTCAAATTTATTAGTCTATTGTGTAAATAGTTTTATCATAAATTATTTTTTTTAATTAAATCAGTAACTGTTGAGCCACTTTCCGAAGAAAAAATATACTATTTAATTAACATTTAAATATACTTAGTATATACTTAATCAATTTGAATTACGTATTTAAATATTTTGCAATGAATATTCAATTGTTTTTATGTTATACTTATTATTTTTTAGAAAATATGTACCAAAAACAAGTCCATTATATAATTCAAGAATTTTATGACTACTATCTACAAATAGATTTAAATATATTAACTTAATTTTTATTTTTATATATTTCGTTCAAAAGCTTAATAACTATTCCTTCGGTAAAATATATCTTCATATTATTATTTAAAAAAGAATTATAAGAGAATTATAATTAACTTATATATATTGTATAATAACAATGTATACCTATTTTACAATAATATAACTATTAATTAATAAAATATTACTAAGAACTTTGTAAAGGCGGATATTAGTTAAATGAGTACTAAACCTTATTTCTGTTTTAGGAATTGGTTTTTAGTAACTACTTAAAAAATGATACAATATAATATAAATATTTTTTATGGTTAATATAATAATTTTTAATATAATAATATTCATAATTTTTAAATTGTTATACAACTTATTTGTATAATTTTTTGTTGATAGTTTAATTACTAATTTGAAAATTGTTCCATGTTTCTTCTAAGAATATTTCTATTTTTATTCATTTAAAAAATAAAATATAATTTGAAGATGTTATATTCGTAGTGAAACTATCAATTTATCACATCTTTAATTCATTTATTGAACGAGGTATATCTCAGCTTTTTAAGTACATGTTCAGTGTCAATTTAAACACTATTAGTATTATTATATTACCTTATTATATTATACAATAATTTTTTTTTAGTCCGTTTTCACACCCCTGGAGATTACAGCAGCCCTCTTTGCCGCATCTATTCATGATGTTGATCATCCAGGTCTCACCAATCAATTCCTTATTAACTCAAGTAAGAGCCTACACTATTTTAAATTTTTAATAATTACTAAATATATACAGTATATTGAATTCAAAAGTTAAAATACTGACTTGTAGGTTCAGAATTGGCTTTGATGTACAATGACGAATCGGTATTAGAAAATCATCATTTGGCAGTTGCGTTCAAACTGCTGCAAAACGAGGATTGCGATATTTTTAAAAACTGTTCGAAAAAACAACGCCAGACCTTGAGGAAAATGGTTATCGATATGGTACTATCTACTGACATGTCAAAACACATGTCGCTTTTAGCAGACCTCAAAACAATGGTAGAAACTAAAAAGGTCGCTGGATCTGGAGTATTGCTACTTGATAACTATACTGACCGAATACAGGTAATTAATTTAATATAATCTATTGTAATAACATACTCTTCTTATAGTACGACATTTTTATATATAAAATTATTTTTCAAAGTACAAATAAATATTTATAATAGATTTTATGATTAAGCACATTTATTTCAACGAACATTTACCAAATTAATAATAACCGAAGGTCTCGAAGTATCCATAGGCTTTCAACTGCATAGGACATTCTCTAAGGCATTTCCATCGAGAAAATCTGTCATTCGGATTGTAATGTGACCTATAAGTACAGTAACACACGTTTCTACTATATCTAAAGACATATGGTAGAAAATGTAGAAGTAGATAGTTAGTCAATAAATTTAACTCATTTGACAAATTCATTATTACTCAATGCTCATTTATATAAATGCTCAATTCTGTTAAAAAATATTTTAAATTAAAATTTTTCTAAAATACAAATAAATGATATTTAATGTGACTTTTCTTCATTAATTAAAAAAAAATTATAAATATATAGTTAATTAGACTAGCAATGGTGTAAGCCCATTTTCTCGGACTGCCTTACATTTTCATTATGACCTCATGAAAAATAAATTACATAATGTAAAGTAAATATAATTATAATTAATTTTATCTAAGTTCATAAATAATGTATATACTCATTCAATTATAAATAAAATTATTCTTATATTATGAAATTCTATGAAAAATATACGTTCATGTGCATATTAATAGTATATTACGATAACGATGATTATTACAATTTATCTTTCATATACATTTTTTATAAACAGTGAAATAAAAAAAATGAGAGTCTGATAGATTGAAATTTAGTTATCTATTTAAACAGTCACTCTCTAGACTGTTTAAAAAAATTAAGAATTAATATTTCTTTGAACATTTTATGACCATCGCAGGACTAGTTTGATAATAAATACATTATTTTTCAATGCAATATCAGATATTAAATAGATTATCCAATAACCACTTCAATAAAAACAAGTAACAAATAATTTCATTGCGAATAAATATAAAATAAAATAGAGATAATGTTCGTTGGATTCTAGGTTTTGGAGAATTTAGTGCACTGTGCCGATCTATCAAACCCAACAAAACCGCTCCCGCTGTATCGGCGTTGGGTCGATCTACTCATGGAAGAATTTTTCCAACAAGGTGATCGCGAACGTGAACAAAATATGGATATCAGCCCTATGTGTGATCGACATAATGCAACCATTGAAAAGTCCCAGTTCGGTTTCATTGACTATATTGTGCATCCGCTATGGGAAACTTGGGCGGACCTTGTTCACCCTGATGCACAAGAAATACTTGATACATTGGAAGAGAACCGTGACTGGTATCATTCGATGATTCCACCTTCACCACCACCTGACTATTTCCAATCTGAAGATCAGCAGCAACCCGATCGCCTACACTTTCAGGTAAATTTATATATATTTTTTCATTGAACTTGTTCATAACGTTACAAATTTAAAAATAATTTTAAAAGTATATGTGAATACATATTTTTTATTTGGCATTATCAACGAGTATAAAAATCTAGAAAATTCATTTGAGGCTATATTCATTATTAATAATGACTAAAACTAATATCAAATTATATTTTAGTTTATATTTAAGTATTTTAACATACTTGGATTAGAATAAAATATAGTAATCTTTAAATCATTATTTAATATAAATAAAAGATTTATTTTTTAATACCAGTATTATATAATTAAGCAACACAAAAAAATTAATTTTTAACACTTGATCATAAATAATATAATATGCTATATAAAGTATTATTATATATGTATAGTTATTGTATATTTTTATAATAATTACAGATATTTTACATTTATATGTTCCTGTTATGATGCATGGATATGCATCATATTATTGTAATTCTTGCTATTACGTATCAATTAACGTTCCCTAGATATTATTGTTCTTCAAACTCAAAAATAAAATTTAATTTACAATTGTAAATAAATAATTAAACTAAGTATAAAAATAAATAAATTTATAAGTATAGATAAAGAGTAAAATGAGACTATTAATACTGCTTATTTGTAATAACTTCAAGAATGCTGTCTAGACAATTACACGAGTATCTTATTTACAAAGCTCACATCAAAGAAATGATTTTAAGAAAGTTTAATAAAAATTCTGATGAAATTGTTCTATAGGAAAAGCTAATAACAATAACACAAATTATTTCTTGGAAGAAACAGAAAATAATTCAAATATTGATATATAATCGTAATATATACTAACGTTGATATATTGCATCAAAATATTATTTCTGAAATTTTCATAATTATATTTTTAAATTATAATAAAAGTTTAAAATTTGGATCTTAACTTTTTTTCTTTGATCTTCTTATGATTATAAAATTGTATATTTAATAGACGACATAAATATTACTAGAAATATTAAAATTCAATTTATGAATTGTAAATCAATATTTGTTACATTGGAAATATAACAGTATGCCAATACCGTAAAATAGTTGTTATCTATAAATTAATTATTTTTAAATGAACGAGGAATAAATATTTATATCTTATAATAAAACATTGGCTAATTTAGTTTGATAATGTATAGTAACTATGTACTCTATATTAATATATTAATGTATTGCAATAATTGTTTAATTAAAATATCAATATATGTTTTTAATTATAATGTATACATACAATAAAAAATATAAAATATACTGATATTAAAAAATATTGAATTATTAAATATTAAGAAAAATATATTAAGTATTAATAATCATGAAGAAAAAATGTTTTTAAATTGTTCAGATGACATTGGATGAAAGCGAAGAACCACACGGCGATATCGATAGCCCCGTAAAGGTCCACAGTCATTCGACTGACCAAGATAACACTAGTGATCCCGAGGATATCCCTGCTGACGCAGAAATGTGATCCAGGCTTACCAGCTTCCGCTGAAAGCTCTATGAGAAAATACAGCAAACTTTGTGGCACGTGTATCGGTGAAACTGACCACAAGATACCCGAGACTCACCTACAGCCATTGTTGCGCTATATATGTGCTCCCATGAGTCCAATTCACTACTAAAATCTTTTCTCATTCTTTTTTTTACTCTTGGAGCAAGACATATCGATGATAATTGTTTATACAAATATGGGTTATCTATTTAATAAATGGCAATTACTTATTAACAGAGAGAGAGAGAGAGAGAGAGAGAGAGTCAGGTAAAGAGGAGGAGAAAGCGAAGACAGAGAACGAGAGAGAGAAATGTGAATGTAATAGGAATATTAAGTAGAGAGGAATATCTCGATATGTAAAGATTATTGATTTAAGACTGTATTAAGAAGATAACTGTTTCAAGTGAACATTATATACAAGACCCGATATTACGTATATTCATATGAGAGTGCATTAAGAGTCTTAAATACACTTATAAATATAAGAGGTCGAGCTTAAAATTAAAACAATGCTAAAGGAAAATGTTGAAGACTTAACAAAATAAAAAAGTAAGAAATAAACGTGATAAAGCCAAATGATTTTTTCTTTTCTCAATTCAAGAGAATTCGGCTGGACCGACATTATTATTAATATATATCAAGTGTAACGTTTCATTTCAAACGTTATATTATTATATCTTAATTCGAAAATCATAACTTCGTCGAAAATATTCTCTAACTATATTGTATGATTAAGATATAATGAATAATCTAACTAGTATGCAAACAAAAGCTCTTAGCGATGAAGTTGTTTTTCTCTATTTTGGTTTTATCCGATTTTACGAAGCATTATATCTTGTTTCTAGATTTTCTTCTTGTTATAAGAGTTAAGAAAAGAGACACGTATCGTGGATATTAAAGATGGATATTAATACCCATCAAATTCTTTTGTACCTATTTAGATAACTCATTATTTTAAGAAATGATTAGTAATGGTTGCCTGTTTCATGGAAACGACTGTCGATAGGTACTCTTTTACCACATTGCTATTTTTTGGAAACTGTGCTGACTGTATATTATTCAGGAATGTATAGATACTTCCTTTGTATTGTTAATCAATATTGTTTTACTCTATTACCTTCTAAGCCATAGATTCACGGTTCAAGAAAATAATATTTTTTTAATACAAATTGGCCTTCTTCTAATGAATAGAATAAGCTGAATTCATTTTTTTTTAGATCTACTAAGTAGCTAATGAAATTCTAGTCTTTGTTCCATTTTGTTCACTGAAAGGATCTTTTAATACAAAATTTATATTATAAATCGTTGTTGCCGTTTACTTATACCAATATGATTCTTAATAGTTTAAATATTTTTAATAAACTTTGCTTATGGAATTTTTAAATAATGTGACAAATATTTCTACAATATGCTCTTATTTTTTAATAATTTCATTTTTAAGTAATAGTATGAATTCATATAATTATATGTAGAGTCGATGCAACTTTAATTTTGTAAAATATATCAACAAATTTATTATGTTTATAACAGATTATACAACATTTAAATAAAAATTAATAATGTAAACATTTTATTAGAAGAATATTTATATTAATGTTCTTTACAAAATTAATTTTTAGAAATTAAAAAATACGTAGTTTTCATTATACTTTTATCAACTAAACTTTATCAATTTGTTATTACAAACTTCTTCTAATTAATTAAGTTTCATAAAAAGTTTTTTTAAATGTATTTTTACGTTAGCACATAATGGATTGATAGATTTTATTTTCATTTGTAATAAGATATGGGCGCCTAAGAATTGATCTTAATTGTTAAATTGATAAACAGTATAAAATTATGTTATATACCAATTATAATCATGAAGCGTAAATTACAATCTTCAAATTATAATTCTGATAAATTCAAATTAAATATAAATAAAAAGATCATGAAATTCATTAGTTGAACGAGGACAAAACTGCTTTCTTACGAGAAAGAAAAAGGAAAGATATAGTTAAAAAAATAAAAGAAAAGATATCGAATTCATGTAGATTGGTGAATCTTGGGTTAATTAATAAAAATAAAACACTTTCAAGGAAGAAGAAAAATTAAACAATAATAAAAGACATGAAATTGCGGCTATTTTTTTTCTAATAACTTTCAAGTTAAATCCTAGATAATTTATATTCTATCGACATATCACAATGAAATTTGTATTTCGAAATAGCGCCTATTGGAAGATAAGGGCAAATTACTATAAATAATTCTTCAATTGCTTATATATAGATCAAAGGGACCTTCCTTCGGGTTGATATGGAATGAATTTTCAATATTTCAAAAATCAAAAAGATATGTTAAGAAAAGAAGTATCGAAATATTTGTGTATAATAAATTGACATTATTGTTCAAAAGACTTTTGAAATTCTTATTTAAATTATACATCTTACTACTAATATGAATTAGTACAAATAATAATATCTTTCTACAACTAACGATATTTACAATACAAATAAACTATTTTAGTTTAATTAAATCCGCATATTTTTAAAAAGTAATTCAAAAGTTAAATAAAAGCATTATAACTTGAACAAATGTCTAGCAAGTCTTTCTTGAAAATATAAATAAGTAGATAAATACTATCAATATTGTTCATTACGGTGCTAAATACTATATAATTTTCTAGATTTCCTTAGGCAAAGATTTAAGGAAAAATCAAACTTGTTGAAAAAAACACATTAATTAATTCAACTACACAATAATTAAAACTACACATACAAACTACACAGTAATTAAAATTCGAAATTCCTCTCTTTCAATATTACTTTTTTTAGCTATTTGATTGTTCTCATTTATAATAAAGCAATTAATTTTAATATATAACTACATAAAAGCTGGTCTTTCAAGTTTGTATTAAAATTAATTAATAAGATAAACGACTATGATATTTATATATAACATAGCACCTGTAAATGATGTACAGTATCATAAACAAGTGCAAATCTCGTAAATATAATCATTTTTTAAGAAAAGAACTTAACAAAATTTAGAAAATTAACGAATAAACAGTCCTTTTTCTCATATTCCATTTAAAATTCGCAAAATTTACATTAGTACAGTTCTCATATAAAAAAAATATAACAAACAGAAAGAAATATAGATATCATTATGAAATACCATCTTAATTACAAATTTTCAATCGAAGCAGATTTACCTTTGAAAGAGTTAGACAGAGATAAGTTGAGATAATAATGTCTATGTTTTTCACTGAGCCCGATGTTATAATTTATAAAATTAACTTGTACTAATATGATAATGTTATTTTGACTAGAATGCTTTTATTATATTTTCCATTATAAATTTAGATCCCAGTATTATTTGCAGTGTATTGTAATACTCAATTAATATATTAAAATATTGTATGAAGAGCATAAAAAGTAAACACTACTTGTAAAAAGACTTCATTTAACTATTAAAAAAATGTCATTTTAATTTTGAATTTTATCCAGTTTTAAATATCTAAGTGAATACTTTTTAAGTATTAGAAAACAAATAATATATTAATAAAATTAAATTTTTTTAAAAGATTATTACAATTTTTTTAAATAGAAGCAGCTAATGAAAAAAATTATTTGATAAAAGGGAATATTATTTATAAGTTTCATTTACACTTATCTAATGAACAATTCAAAAATACTAAAATTATTATCATGATTTTCTTGCGACTCTCGATTATAAAAATAGAAATTACTACCGTATTTCCCTCCGCTTGCTTTAAAGTAGTCATACATATTATATCACCTGAATTTTTAAAAATTAATTAAAATAAAAATCAAAAAAAAAATGACAAAAAATTATAATCCGTTACATACAACATTTTTTCACCGAAATTAATGAACTTTTCATACTCTTATAATATCATCATGAATAACTTAAAGAACGCTTGAAATACAAAACATTGTTAAATAAATTTTAGCAATTATGATATGCCGCCTCTAAATTTAAAAGCCAACTATTATTTGTCATAATTAAAGTTTACAAAAAGAAAACGAAAATGATGATTCGCATTAACAATTCAAGCATAAATGAGAGAAATTTATAGATTCAAGTGTAGAATCACTAAAAAAAAACCTTGCGACGTAATTATTTGAGAAAAACGAAACCAAGTAATTATCGATGTGTGTGTCATAAACATTGAACTTAACGAGTGTATGTTGCTGGACACCCAATGTTTGGTTAATAATTTCAACATTAAATATCTAGAATTAACCCTAAACTTACCTTTTATTTCTTTTTTGTTTTAATTTTACTTTTAAATTTTATTTAATTCTATAAAATATGACTATAAAATTACAAAATATACTTCAATGCAATGGATAAAACAAAATGTAAATATATAAAAATACAACATGGAAAACTCAAATAAATTTATAAATGTTTTGCATATAAATTAAATAAAATTATCGTAATGTCGAATTCATGAATTTTATTATTTAAAGCTTATCAAATAAAAATCAGAAAAACATCGTCTTGAAGTTCATGTTAGTTTATACAGTTCAGAAACAAAAGTTTAAGTTACTTTTAAAAAAAAATACGTGACAACAGTACTATTCTTGAGATACTCATTTAATACTTCTTGTCTTTTATATTATTTATCAGATACATCAAGTTAATTGTTATTATGTTTTATAATGGCAACAATAAGAAAATGAAAATTATGACAACTGTAATTACCCGATAATATATAATACTTTATGGAAAAAAACAAATGCAGCGCGTTTAATTGCTGGACAGTTAAATAAACATGTATTAATATCATGTAACCCTTATACGAATATATGTGTAATAAAAACATATTTATTGTCTGAATATGCATTTCTTTCTATTATGTTGATAGAATATTAGTCAATTGAATTGTGTTTTTATATATAAGTATCTTTTATATCTAATGGTCAAATATTATATTATATAAATGTATGATTATATTACTTTTGTGAAATTGCATACTATATAAAAGTGATTTGAATATTTTTATAGTTTTTTATTTATGATTCATCACTATTAATTTATAAATAATAAAAGTTTATATATAACAATATTATAATTTACCTCTAATATACCGTTTAATAATTATTTAATTATTAAAAACAATATTAGACATATTTTTAGAATTTAGTTTATTTCAAGTTTTTCTATTAATATAAACATTTTAATTTTTATCAAGGCTCTATTATTTATAGTTTTTAATTTTCTAACATTAAAATGGATTACTAATGATATGTTTTTTTCAATATAAAAAATTTTACAAAAAATAATAAAAATAAAACAATTTAAAGATTTGTTGAAAAATATTAAATTGAAACAAAAAATTCAATAATTATATTTTTCCAGTAAAGGTACAAATATGGATATTAGATATGGATATTAGAATAGAAGATAAGTTCATGTGCAATACAATAAGTTAATACAATATAATTTCAAATGTACAATAAAAATGAATTTAAGAAATATTATTGCTTGTATATACTTTCTGTAACAATACGAGTTATGTAATTAAAAAGCAAATATGCAATAAGATAATTGTTTTTACATGCATTTCAATTATTGTATAATTAAATTATATTTTAATTACATTTTAATTAATTAAATTATATTATATAATTAATTAATTTGATTTACTGTCTTTAATCTAATTTTGTTATCTAATTATTTTATTCGAAGTATTAATTCAAGTTTATTAGTACATATAGTATATTTTTAATAAATTATTTAATATAATTACTTATTTTATATAATTAAATAATTCTATATAAATAAGCTTAAAAATTAAAAATAAAATAATTATCTCTACTTCTTTGATGTATAAATGTGATAAATATTATAAAAACATTTTTTATATAATTAAAATATTATTTTATTTTAGTATTTTAATATTTATCAATATTTTGATACTGAATATTAACTTCAACATAGTGTTTTAATTATTTATTTCAATCACAGTCCATCATACGTATTATTTGTATACTTGTATACTTTTCAAAAAACTCAATTACATAATTAATTAATACTTTTTATCCATATATATATATTGATTTATTCATTTATTTACATGGTAAATAGCTCCCTTTAACTGCGATAAAAAGCATCTGGTTTTTAAGATGAATATATTTAAAAATAATAAGTCTTTTTAAATAATAAGATATTGTTTAGAATCAATACAAATTTATTGTAGATTTTCTTGACATATTCAGAAATATTTTTCTGATGACCGATACCTTACTGTCGAATGATCATTTATATAAGAGATTCTGATATAATTATGTAAAATTTTACATTTAAAAAAATTGTACAATATCGAAATGCTTTATCTGACACTCTTATTTAAATATTAGTTTTCGCTTTATGTAAAAATGTCTCATTACAACGAAACTCTTTCAGTGCTACTAACACTCGAATTAATAAAGCACATTACAATCTTTTGTCAAATTTTTTCTCATCAGAAAAAATCCATTACAATTGAACATTATTTGGACAATATCAATGATCATTTAACTGCGACATTTTTCATTGATGGTGCAGAGAACTCAGAATGTGTGCCATCGCCTTTTTTCATAACCATAGACTTGATAAGCTCTGGAGATGCTTGCTTCATGTCATAGGCCCAACCAATCAGTGCAAAAGTATGGATAAAATAGGTGCTAAGATCGATCATTGGATGGCCCATTTCTGAGGCTTTATAATCCCATGGAAAGGCATGATGATAATTGTGCCAGCCTTCACCACCTGTGACATATGAAATTAGCAGATTCTCTGTTGGTGCAATCATTCTGAAAGTCACAATAAAATAACTAGTAAATACAATTTGAAAGTGTTAAATGGTTAATTGCAAAATAATTAAGAATATTAAGAAATTAATTAATATAAGACTATATAATAATAAATGTATCTAAATCACATATATTACATAATATTGGTTAAAGGATTATTTGAACGAATTTAATAATAAATTATAAATCCATAAATCAATATACAAAATATCTACTAAAAAGATTTATATTTGATTTAATGTATAAAAAATACATATTATATATATATTATATAAATACATTATATTTTAAATAACAGATAAAAATTATCTGTACAACTATATTTTTGTGATATGCATTACTTTATAGATAATAACGCGAGCAAAATTTAATAATAAATCATGTAAATAATATTATATATATTGTTGTATAAAATTTGTTTCAATAGTTTAAATTGTATTATTATTTGAATATTTGAAGAGCTTTAATAACTTAAAAGCTATTTCATCTCATTTATAAGGAATAAAGATTAATAATAATATATAAAAATATAATCGTATAACGTTAATGAGATAATTTTTTAAAACTAACTTATCGTAAGGTCTCCATCCAAACATATGCGCTACGCTATTAACACACCACGTAGCATTGAGTACAAAAGCATAACGCATCAAAATTTGAGTGGTGATTGCGTAATACCAATCTTCATTCCAAACATATACTGGTATTATTACTGGTCCGATGAAGCAAAAAATTATCTTTAATGGTATGAAGTATCTTAAACAAAAATTTCCAGGATTTGAAGACTTTATATTCTTACACTTAATTTTAAATTTTCTTCAAATGATATCAATTATCAATGCAGTAATATGACAATAATATATTTATCATATAATTTTTTTATTTAAATATACACACTTTATATTGCAACAAACTTCTATTTATTATTTAAAAAATGTTATCATATTTCAGTAGTTTTATACACTCTACAGGCTTCAATATTTGACCTGCTAGAATCTACCAAATGTATTATATATATAAATTCACAATGAATAAAAAAAGGTTTGATACACATCTTTATAGTATTATCACAATTATAAAATTAAAGTTGATAAATTTTTTTTTAATATATATTATTTATATTTTTCAAACTAGATAAATTTTAATATGAATTTATTAATATTAACTATATTCTTTTTTATATAAACAAATTAAAATAAATTAAAATAAAATAACAATATAAAAGTATTAAAATTAAATTATTATTAGCTTTAATGAATAATATAATGAATATTTAAATGATGTTTTTAAAAATAAATGTACTTATATTTAAAAATTAAAAATAATAAATATCTGTATTAAAATAATAATATTTTTTTGATACATACTTTTCACCAAAAGCAACTACAGGATCATTGAGAATATCGTTCATATCAATTTGACGACCTTTTCTTAAAACTTCAGAGTGCTTGCGTAACATTAACCAACCTACATGAGAGAAAAAAAATCCTCTTGTACTGTTGTGTGGATCTGCATCAGTTTCCGAAAATTTATGATGAACACGATGATCCCTTACCCAATTGAAAATTGAATTCTAAATCATAATAAGAAATTATTCGAATTTATAATTTATCACGAATATATGAAACAGTCAAGATTATTATGATATCCAAATAACAAGAAAATTTATCCACAATATAGTTGCCAGTATATCAAAGAAAAAATAATAAAATATATATATTGTTAATTTAGAAAAAAGAATTATAAAATTATAAAATTCTTTTAATATATTTTCATAAGATATGCATACGCACGCGCGCGCACGCACACACACGCACACACATATATATAAATATATATTTAAATATAATTAATTAATAATTTACTAATATTTTAATTAACTAGGTTCGTTAAAATACTTTATAACTAAACACTATATAACTATATAATTATGAAGATTTCAATTATCAAGATTTATAAATAAAAACTATATGATCAAAATTTTAAATTTTTTGTAATCAAATGTCTTTTAATACAAAATTTTCTTAGTCGTATACAAAATGCTTACCGTTATAAAAAAATTCATATTTCGAATTTTATATTTTCAATAACAATTCATAATTAAATTTATGAACGAATTTTTATTAAACATTCTAATAAGTATATCAAAATTAATAGACTGAAATCCTTAACTTGTGAGCGACATATAGCAAACAATGAAAATGTCACAATTTGTACTTAAAATATAAAGAAAGTAACGAAAATATATGACATATTAAGTTTAAAAGTATATGTAATGCGACGACGGAAAATAAATATGGGGAAGATATTTTTAAATTGTTGTAAAGAAATGAAAGAGCACTGCAAAAAATTCATATTACATAGTAACTTTGTATGTAAGTGGTAAAAAAATTAATTTTTAAGGGGCCGAATTGACTCTACATTTTAATATTGCTATTATTATGCTCATTTCAAAACTAAATGTATATCATTCATATTTAATTTAAAATTAATTTTACTCATAACTTAGTATTAAATGATTTTACATTGATAGCTATTCTATTTATGTTTATAAATTTCATGTTAATAAATACTTTCTAAAATCAATATTACTTAACTATAATTAATTTGTAGGTCATATTTTTTTTTAATTTTTCATTGCGATGCAAAATATATGAGATCTCGCTAAATTAAAAAAAAGATTGTATTTAAATATAATTTTTTAAGAAAATGAAATTAAAAATAAAAGAGCATTTACATGTTCAATTTTTTAATAGAGCATAATAGAGTAGAAATACGAAATTATTGGGTTGTTCCAATTAAAATAATACAAAACATACTTATAAATAAAAATATTAGTTCTATAAAGTTTTATGTTAAATAATATCTAAATCCTCTACCATTATTAAATATGGGTTTCGATTCAGGAAAAATTATTAGTTGCGCAAGAAATGGTAAGATTCTCTTGTAGGTGATTACTATATTTTAGTTTAAGTTAATGAATTACAGTAAAATTATTACAATATCGACTTTAAGAAAAATAACTGTACATAATGAATTAAATAGTAATTTTGTAATAATAAAATAAAAAATGGATAAATCATAGCCAAAATTCAAATGTAAAAATCAAACCGTAAATATACATGCTAATTCAACAGAAGGTTAAAAAAAGAAACTGAAGTAAAATATGATTATCATCTATACCATTCCGGCTGTACTGTAACAACATAATAGAATTATTCTAAGCGGAGTTTTCGCTTTATACGAGCGATGAGTCCAAAGCCGATGAACGCCAGCTCCAACTCCGAATGAAGCTATGACGCTAACCATCCAACCTACAATAATAAAATACCAAAATTATAATTTATATTTCAGAACATCTGAATCTTTTTTAAATTCAGATTAACTTTTTGAAAGCAATTCATATATAGCCTAAGCATCTTAGATCATTTCCGGATTGATATAAAGTTCAATAAATTATTTATAAAATCTAAAAGTTTTCATGGTCCTACTAATGTAACTTATATCTATTAATAAATCAATTAAAAAATTATTTCAAATATGTATTTTTATTATCTATGATCAATGAATATAATGAAACTAACAAATTAAAATCATCATTGACTTTGTATTAAATATTGAAAAAAAAGTTTCGAAGTATTTTAATTATAATCTTGCATGATATATTAAATAGCTTACCCCAAAGTAAGGTTTTTAATCGTTGAAAATATGGAAAAGTGATATAAGCGTAAAGTGACATAAGGTGAAATAGAGTAATCGCGACAACATTTCGCCATATAATATCCTTCCTTGTAAATCGCCACTCATATTTTTTAAACTTTTCTTCGGAGCAAATATCATTATTACGATTTTTTGTTAAATTATTTATACTATTATTTCCATTTGCTACTTTATTGTTCTTCTTTAAAATACTATTAAATACTGAATGCTCGTTACTTTTATTTTTAAAAATTTTTGAGTTAAATTTATCAAAATATAACTCATGTTCCTTGGTCTTCTCATGCGGAAGCATGATTTCTTGTTATCAATGATTTTCTGCAATAAAAAGAAAATTTATTAACAGTACTAAATTTTTCATTTAATTTAATTCAGTCACACATTAAGAACACATATACCGCTTAAAACTTTTTAACTGACGACCATGAAACCATTGCCATGTAACTGCTTAATATATCTTCATTTGAATTTCCTCTTCACATTATTAGGTTAATTATTTATACGATGTAGCCTCGAATATTTGGTATCATATAGTAAAGATTAATTCCAGAATTTACTTATTAATAAAATTTAAAATGATAAAATGACTATAAATTAATAAAATTAAGAATTTTTCTGAAACTTAGTATATTATACATATTTTCCATACTATTTTTATATTCTTAAAATATTTATATCAAATAATAGAACAACTTTTTATATATAATTAGTTCCGATTTATTTTACCTTAAACAAACGGTATTTGATAATTTACAAATAAACTTATAACCTCAACTTTTGTCGAATATTATTCACAGAAATTAATAATAGCTACAAGAAACTAATACATAGAAATAGTACATAGTAAAAAATAATACCTAGAAGAAACTAATACATAGTAGAAATAGTACATAGTAGAAAATAATACATAGTAGAAATAGTATCGAGTTCTCAGTTATTAAAATATAATTATTAAAGTTATTACTAAAAACATGTAAACTGAATAATTTCCATTTTCAATTTCATCGTTATTTACAATAGATATATTCAAAATCAACCATTGGAATTACTGTATTATATTAATATAGACCATAAACCGGCTTTTTCTATTGATGTAATCTTCGAATGTTAAACTAGATAAGAATTTATAGTATATACTATAAAGTAGTATATAAAGCAGTATATACTATTATATACTATAATTTGTATTTTAAAGAAATATTTTATTGCTTTAATCTCAATAATATTATAACAAAAATAATATATGTAATTATATTTTTTTCATAATATATTAATACATGTATTATAAATGATACTGTGAAATAAATAATAAATATTCAATTTCTTTTACAATATTTAAATTGTGTTTTGCTTGACAATTAATTTTTATATTTCATTTTATATGTAATATATAAATAAAATAAACATTAAATGTTGAATTTTTATTCAAAGTTATTAATAAACTAATTTAAAACTCGAATTCATTACTAAACTATTCTTTCAATTAACTTAATTAATAAACTGTTGACTAGACAAAATATACCATGACTTGTATAAAATATTTTGTGAAATACAGAAATAAGAAGATAAAATATTGAGAAGATATAATACCGTAAAGATAACACTTAAACAGTATTATTTAGTAAAATTTTGCCTATTTACAAACTAATTAATATAATACATTAATTTTTTTTACCTTATATACGAATAGAATAGAACCAATGTCTATAAAGCGTCGATTTTATTTGTATATCTATTATACTTTGAAAAATCTTTTATATTTATGAATTTTATTTATTAAGCAAATACTCAATATATATAAAATAAATATAGTATTATGTATTAAAAATATAAAAATTCAACGTTGGATAGATATAAATTGCTAAGATTGTTTGTACATCTAAACACGTAAGAAAGAAAACTTCTTGCAAACCATATTGCAAAAAATTTGAATACAACGATAGTGTAGAGGTTATTGTTAAATTTATAATTTGTAAAATAATTATCATTTTACTATACATTCTTGATTATAAGAAAGTAAGTTCATGAAAATTAATGAACATTATAATGAAATAGATCGAATATACATACAACACAAATATAAAAAAAAGAATATATTATAATTAACACCAAATACAAATTAATAGCATTGGATTACTATAAACAGTCGATTATTAATATTCTTATTAAATGTTAAAGCGTAATTTCTTATAAGTTTTTTTGATTCTTTGAGACAATTAAAATAATATTGAAATCATCTACTTAAATTCATCTAGTATTCAAAACAACTGTGTTTACAATAAAAAAATTATAAAATAAATTGTATTGTATTAAAGCCAAATTCATGTTTTACACATTTTTAGTAGATCATAAATAATGATATATATATATACATTTTTACTTTAACAAATATTTAAATGCCATAATTTTATATATTTTAAAATATAAATACAAATAATATTATAAATTATATAAAAAAAAATAAAAAACATATTCATAACATTATTGTAAAATAATTAATTTGTTTTGCAACATTGATTAACTCAACAACTAAAAGATATTTAAAATCATATAATTTTAAAATAAAATAAAAATTTATACAATAAATTTATTTAGTTATAAAAATTTTGAATTAAAATTTTCAACATATTCATCGGTAATTAAAATTAGTTAATTCTCCATTCATCCTTTATGCTCATATGACCATTATTCGTAACAGAATATACGTATTCAATATATGTTCAAAACCATTTATTGAAAACTTGATTATTTACAAAGTGTGATCAATAAATTCAAAAAAAAATGCTTACGAAAAATTTTATTAAAAATCTGATTATAAAACTTTTTTGTGTTTTTTGTTAACATCAATAAGTCAATTTACTAACATTTTTCAGACTTAGTGTTTCGGTTTGATAGTGTTTATTATATGTATGTGGTTCTTCTGATTATTATAAATAGTCGATAATTGATTTTTAGAATATAAGACACGAAAGATAACTACTACTATGAATGAAATTACGTTCTTTTTTATGACATTATAAAAACTAAATAATTTTATATTTCTTTTATAAGATACTATTTTATAATAATATTAAATATATGTATATATTTATATATAAGAGTAATAATGTTAGTTTTTTTATTATATTTAAATATTATTTAATAGGAGAAAATTTTATCGAATTTACATATATAATGAAAATGTAAATGTAGAAATGACGATAGTTATATTTTACCCAGTTTAAATGTACTTCGTAATCGCTCTTTCTTCTCCGGGATGTATGACGGGCCACGTGGCTTGTAAGTTATCGTGCAACGTTAACTTGTAAAGAAATAAAAATGGAAAGGTGTGTGCGAGCGTGTATATATATATATATATATATATATATATACATATATAAAATTTCGCGGGCAAAGCGAGGCTGTACGATAATAATGATGGTATCGCGCGCCCACAGGTCAAGCGCCCACTACTCGAATAGTCGACTCTGAAAAATGCTGTGGATCTGCGGTGTGCATAGCACAATGTTGCACTCGTAAAAGCGGGATAATGAGAGAGAGAGGAGACAAGCCTTTTTCTCTCCCCCTTCAGCCGACAACGCGTAGAACGGGACGAGAGGCAGACCGCCTTATTGAAAACGAACAGTCAACAGCACCCTACATCCGTTTTCGCAGCGATGACTATTAAGCCAAGGCCCGCTGGGGACTGCTGCTCTTGGAAAGATCTCCGTGGCTTATGAGGAGGTGGACAAATCACAATCAATCTCTATTCGCCTTATAGCTGGCTTAACAACTAGCCAAAAATTACACAAACCTGCTGAATTTCGAGTCAGCTACCTACTTATATCAATGAAGTTATTCTTTTATCTGTCTCTCTCTTTCTCTCACTCACCCTTCTCAAGCCCTTTGCTATATTCTGCTTTGTATCTTGATAATCATACATCTTCTATTTATTTAACAACACATTTTCTGCATTAATAACAACACGACTTACACTTGAATCTGTCAACAGAATCTGTTACTCTAATTAGCTTACTTTCCTTATTGATTCTTTTATTGTTTCAGAGAAATATTAAAAAAATTAGTTGTATTCCCATGTTCCTACTTCACTGTGTATTTAAAAAATATTTATTATTTATTACTTATATTAAATTTATGGATTTATATAATTAATTAAATTATCATAAATATTAATAATATATGTCAAAAATATTAATAGTGCCTATTTTTTAATAATTCTTATTTTTCAATTGTAGTATTTTTAATTTAGCTAAACTTATATAATTAACTAAATAAGATTATAGATAAAAATTATAATTAGAATTCGAATTAATCAAATCGTTTATAAAAGTTTCATTATTTTTTTTATATAGGGGATAAGGAGTATTGAAGCTATATAATTATATATGATATTTATATTATTTAATTAATACAATAAATTTTATTCGGTAAAATAGTGTACTTTATTGTATAAAAAATAAACATTTTCGAAATATTATCGATGCAAATATCCAATTAAAATTGAATAAAATATATTTTACTCTATCAATAAAAGTAATTTCCTTATACATAATTGCGTATTAATATTAGATTATATTTAAAATAAAATAGAATAAGCCAAAATTAATCAAATACATACCTAAACAGTAGTTTCTTATTAATAAAATCATTGATTTACTTATACACGAGTACTTATACATGAAATACTTATAAATAGCATAAGCATATACTAATTATATTAATTCAACGATAATGAAGTAATCACAACTTAAAATATCAAATTTTTTTATATAAAACGCTTGTATTATGTTCAAATAGAAACGGAAACTGTTTCAAAAATCATATTATACTCTCTTTCACCACATACTTTTGTTATTTAAGTAAGACACTAACAATTTAAAATATTAAATCATTAAAATACTAATTTTTAGTCTGTTGAAATAGTCCTTGAATGCTAGTGTAATGATGCGCGCGTGTTTTGTTTTCAGATTCACGGATAGCACATAATCTCCAAGCATTTTAAAAGCTAGAATGTCACATATACTGTACGATTTTAGAAGGTTTCAAGCAAAAGTCACCGAAGCCGTGATGTGCTGATAGTACGTCATGAGCTATGTCAATCCAACTACGCACTTCTTTATATGTACATCATATAACATATATATCAATAACATATATAAATCAATTATTATTTCTTGAAGAAAAACTAAATTATAAGGTAAAAAACTATAATGTTCCAAAATTAGTTTTCAAAATAGTGGATGTATGTAAAATAGATCCCTGTATTTAATTTTATTCTTATTGATTTTATCTTATTATCTATGAAATTTGTATAATTATTACAATAAATTTTTAAGTACCAAATAACTCTTACTAAACAAAAATTGAATAAAAATAATTAATCATTAATTTTTTTTTATTTAAAATAGAATAAATATAATAGAAATATTGGTCAACACATCTTCAGAAATTTCTTTTTATTGTATTATTTAATATATAATTCTGTTATTTTATATAATTTTTCCTATTATTTGCTTTTGTCTATATTTATAGGTATTTAAGTATTAAACTGTTTATCATAAGACTTTATAATCTCTCTCTTCTTATCAAGATTAATCGCAGAAAAATAAAACTACTTCATCGACATTAAATAGCGAGGTAGGGAATTTTAAGCTTACACAAAATAATTTCACTCTTTAAAAGTATACTGATATATGAATTATTGATATTGAAATACACATTGCTTATTTTTATAATATTCTCATGCATTAAAAGATAACACTATTACAAATATTTTATTATTATATTGTAAATTGATGAATTCTATAAAAATTTAAACTTATGCAAAATCAATTAAAATATCATAATAAGGTATTTATTATTTACTTCAAAAATAAATTTTAACAATTTGAAGTATATGCACATAGATAATATTTTATAACACAAATGACAAAAACATATAAAATATCAAATCTACTTATTACAAAAGAATATAATAAATGTAATAATTTATTTCTACTGTAATAATAAAGAATAATGTATAAATGTTTTTCTGAAAAGCAACAAATTCATTTGACTAAAAATTATATTTGAAAAAGATATTTATATATAATTTTTTGAGAATTTTTAAATTTCTTTCAAATATTATAAAAGTAATATTCGAAGTGATATCTAGTTAATTTATATATGAAGTAATATGATTAAGTGAAATAATATGAAATTTATATAAAAGTTAAAAACTTTGATGTTGTATTATAATTTTTTCATCTTTTGAAAATATATATTATAATTATACTTGGACAAATTATAATTATCAAATCTGTAAGTTACAAAGGGTTCTAAATAATTAAGGTATTTCTCATTGCAAATAATTTTCTCAATTCTCTTAGAATATATTTTTTTATATTATAGAGAAAATTATTATATGAATATTATTCTTCGTGCATATAAATGTAATATAATGTATATATTATTTTTATAATGTGTACAAAAGGTAAACTGTATTACTTATTATTGCTAATGAATTAATAATAAATATAGTTTTTCAAAAATATTTTTATGTATATTTACATTGTTTATTTTGCATGAAACAGCTCAAAAGAATGCAATCAAATCATTTTCATAATTATTTATAGAAAATTTGTCCTATATAAATCACACCCTATCGCGTATTATTTTTTTGCTTCATATTCCCTTCCACCTCAACACCCTATCAAGCTCTTACAATCAGTCACCTACACCACGCACCCACCCCCCTAAGCCTGCACGAACTTAAACATATATTTCATACATAAACATTAAGATTTGGAGATTTATTAAAAAATTCCATTATGATTAAAAGCATATTTACATAAATTTATACATTATAAATTATATTTGTAATACTTATACAAAAGTAAGTATATTATATATAGAAATTAAAAAATATATTTCTATCCATAGTCACATATGTCGAACACATACTTTATCTCTACTCATTATTACGTGATTCAGTGCGAACATATATACGTTAACGATTCATTTTTATGAAACTTGACAAATATTGCCATCCCTAAAGTTCATAATAATCATGAGTAATAATACGGATAATATTATATATGAATGCTAATTTGGATATTCGATTTATTATGATAAAAATGCTTACATTCGCTTGATAGGTCTTCGTCGTACAATTATAAGTTCGATTAATATTTAATTAATAATCTCTTGCTTAGTTAATAACTTGAATCGCATAAGAATTAATTTTTTCCATTTTTAAAATTTTGTTATAAATTACTAATTTAAATTATTAATTTAATTTTTGTTTTAATTTTCTTTATATTTAAATATTTAGACTATTCTGTAATTATATAAAATAAAGATTATTGAATATTTCTTAACTAATATTATTAATTATTTAGAAGGAAACATACAATTGAATGAAATGCAAAAGTAAGATATTTTTCAATCAATTAAAATTTGTGCAAATCAATTGTTGATTGAGTAACAAATGCAGTTCCAGAATAAGTATATATTATAGTAAAATATTATTTTATAAATACTGGTTGTAAACGAAAGGAAATATTAAATTAGTTTGCTAACTTATCTCGTGAAGTTTCACAATAAAACAGTTATGTTATTATATATAGTTAAGCAATACAAATATACAAATATACAATATATTGATTTACAATTACGACAAAGATATTGATTAAAATTCTGATTGTAAATAAAATAATTTATATAATAATCTAAAATGAAATAAAATATTTGACAAAATATATCAAAGTAATCTAGAATCTTATTATAAATATACTTTAGTATATCATCAGTTATATTTTCTATCATAAATTTTATTTTTTAATATCAATTAATTAATACTTAAATTATTAGTTAAATATCAAATTCTCTGTAGCGTTTTTAGTATTTTATACTAGATTAATATAATTATACGGAAAATACTCGTATATATTATAACTTTGTGTAAACCTATATATAAAACATTGTAATAAAGTAAGATCATTATCCATTACACGAAATGAAATTACGACGTTCACGTGAAAATGACAGAAGTAGATCTCAGTCAAGGACTAAGAAAAGGTCTTTTGGAAAATTGAGACTGCACTAATGTTTAGCAACACGTTGGCGTAGTTCAATCACATAACTAAAGGAGAGCATTATACATACAAGAAGAAATGAGATTTTACGGAAATATCACTATAAGTGTCGATGCATGAAAATCTGTAATATAACGAAATATTCTTCTGATAAATTAGAAACTTTATCCAATTTGATATTTCTATTTAAGCACCTACGTATAATAGAAAATATTAAGATTGGCAATTACACATTTGTTACATAAAAATATATCAAGGATATAAAGTTTATTTCAAGAAAATATAATAAAAGCTAAATATGCTATAGAAATTATACAAAATTTTAATATACTTTGCTATTATTAGAATATCTGATTTACTATTGATTCGTATTAAAAACGTTTGTTAAATAACACCAGCACAAACAAGAAAATGATGTTTATGATAAAATTCTGTTTGAATCTGATTGACAGAGACAATTAAGATCGAGTCAAGTTATACAAAACAATCAAGCACATCATTTGACAATCCATATCAGGCACGATGAATTAATTCATTTGCGAGGATCGAAAGTAAAGTTATGAAGGATAACTGATAGTAACTGAAAGAAGCTGAAACTGAAAATATGCAACCAATATCAATGCTTTCTAATAATTACTTTTTATAACAAATTAAGTACAAAATATGGGATATAATAGTTTATTAAGATATATAATGTTTATCTTTTTTAATTCTATTTTATTCAAACAGTTATTATTGAATATTTAATATATGCATAATAATATTGATTATGACGGTTATTACTGTAATTGAAAATAAAAAAATAAATAAATAGGGTATTTAAGTTGTTAAGTAAATATTATTATCTTGTAAATTGATGAATTCTATAAAAATTGAAACTTATACAAAACCAGTTCAAATATCACAGTAAGCTATTTATTATTTACTTGTATTAAAAACAAATTTTCACTATTTGTAGTATATTTATAAATATAATATTTTGTAACACAAATAAAAAAAAAAATAAAATATCACAACTATTTATTAGAAAAGAATGTAACAAATATATTAAATTATTGCTACTGTAATAATAAAGAATACTATATATTTTTATGTAAAAATCAATAAATTTATTTGGCTAAAAATTATATTTCAAAAAAGTATTTATATATCAGTTTTTTGTGAATTTTTCAATTTCTTGTAAAAATTAGGAAAGCAATATTCGAAGTAAAATCTAGTAAATTTATAATAAATTTATTACAGAATATTTATTCACGACTTGAAGGGAAATTCAATTTCAACATTACACAACATATTTAATAAATATCATCATAAATCTATGATTTTTTAACTTTCATTGTAATCTTTATAAAATATATCTTTCAACTTTATTTATTCAGATTACGGTTAAAGCTTTTATAAGCTTCTCATAGGCACAAAAATGTAAAATAAACATAATAACTTGCTTTAAAAATCAAATAAAAAACAAAATTTTTAATATACATTTTATATGAATACGTAGTATTTATATTAAATTTTGAACAATCAAAGTTTTAAATAATATTTTTTTGTATTTATAATTATATTATTTGCAAATATATTTTTAAGATTTTTTTAACTTTTGATTTTATTACAGAAATAATTGATATTTAACATTTAAGAACATTTAATTGTAAATATAATTAAATTTATAAAATTATTAATAACAAAAACTTAAATAATTATTATATATATATATATATATATATGTCAATATTTCATATGTCAAGCATATTCGTATTTTTAAAATTCATAAATTTTATAAATTCGGATGTATTGAATGTATGAATCCTTTTGATTTAAACCTACTTTATATTCTAATAACAAATTAAGTTAAAATTATTATAGTAGAAATCGATTATACTACCGCCAATTGAAGACAGTTTTAATAATTCAAGCAACTTGTGTCGTCATGTCAACTCTTTTATATTTATAATATGTATATGTAATATATATATTTCAATTGGTATATAATATATAATTATACACCATTAAAAGCATGGATTAAATTTCAATGATTCCATTAAACTACCGAAGCCTAGGTAAATAGTCATAGAACAAATAAATTATGTAGCATAAATAACTGTAATCATGCAGAAAATGATACTTTTCAAGAATTTTAATTTGGGATATGACATTGTTTGCTAAATTAAATCATAAAATAAAGCATAAAATCCATTAATATTGAGTTTGTATATTTTTATTTATACGTAATTCGTGTACGTATTCGGATTTATTTGTAAAGTTATATATTTTTCTTGAACATGAACTTGTCTTGAAACATTTTCAAAATAATAGTTCCATAACATAATTAGATCGATTTGTTAATATTTTGAATTTAAACTTAAAATTTCAAGCGATTTGGAACATAAATAATAATGAATTAAAATGTATTTAATATAAGAGAAAGATGACTATCATTAAATAATCTATTTTTACTAATTTTCTAATATTATTTTAATAAATATCTATTTAATATAATGTTATAATTATGATATTGACATATCAATAAAATACTATCTAAAGAATCCAGCAGTGTTGTCATACTAGTTGTACAAATAAATACACTTATGAAAGATTCAGATACAATACTGTTGTTCATAGATTAACATTTTTCTATTTAAACGATTGAGTCATGTTTTAAAATCCTTAAGTATTTTTCTTTAAATTATCCAGATTATTAAATATAACATTACTTTGTGTAATTAAAATAAATACTAAAAGCAATGTATTTCGTAATGGCTGAATTTGTATAATTTTGAATATCTATATAACTTATTTGTAGCTAGATATATAAGGTTACAAAAATTTATCAAACTAATTATAGATACGATATGAACATATTTAAAAAATAAATCCAATTAAATGTACATTGTATTACTATATATAAGTTCTAAACAGATTTTATAAATACTATTTTTCGTTGTCTAACTAATGTCAAATTGTACACTTTTTATGTTAAAATAATAAAGCTTTCATAATATTAAAATAAATCCCTAGTTTTTATAATAGATTGTGTCTCACGAGTTTCATATTTAATACTAATCTTTTTAATTTAAATAAGTAATACTGTAATTTAAAAAAAAATTTTAATTTAACAAAAAACTGATAAGCTGAAATTGATCTTAGCTTTATATTAATTTTGACTTAAGAAATTATTTCTTCTTTTCACTAGTTTGAATAATTAACTTATTTCCTTGTCGAGTAACTGTAGTTGTTAATGGTGGCAATGCTATTTGCATTAACTCTGGTTTTAATACTTGCTTTGTATTTTTAACAGAATTAGAACGAACAGCTTGAGTTGTTCCCGAAGCTTTTATAAGAGAATCAAAATGAGCCAATCGATTTCTCAAAGCTTGATTTTCTTTTATTAATCTTTCAAAGTCTTTATTTCTGTTATCATATCCCGAACTACTACTTTCTTCTGCATAAAATTTATAAAAAACACTTATTCGCTGCTCATACATCTTTCGCAGCATAATCATTTTTGTGTCATTTTCTATTGCTTGTTTTTTAATAGATTCTTCTAATATAGCATTTTGTATTTCAAGATTTCTTGAACTATCTTTAAGATCTATAACTTTATAAAAATATTTATAAAATAATGTAACAAGTTCATCATGAGATAATTTTTCTAATCTATTCATTATTGGCATTTGCTCATCAATCTTATTAAATTTATTTTGATTTAAATCTACTTTTCCACAAATCATTACATTTTTCTGTTCTATCATTGCATCAATTGTTTCTACATATTCACTAATAAGTAAGAGTTGCCTTTCTTTTCCAACTGTTGTTGAAGTTCTTCCATTTATGTACTTACATTTCATATCAATTAAACGATCTCTTATATGTCTCAAATTTCGAATTTCTTGCCTAAGAGTTTCTTTCTCATCAGTATTATCTATTCTTTCTATATCTAATTTTTCTTTTAATAAATGATCCAATCTAGAAATTCTTTCATTTTCTTCTACTAAATTTTTATCTTTATCATCACATTTCATTTTAACTCTATAATGACTTTTTTCATCTTCATTTTCAGATATAACGTCTTTCAATTTGGATGATGTTATATTATATTTTTCTTCAAGTTCCTTTATTCTTTGATGATTAGATATCAACTCTTCTTCAACTAATTTCTTATGTTCTTCTTCATCCTTAAGACGCTGCTTTAACATTTCCATTTGTTTTTGTGATGCACTTAAAGAATTACTTAAATAAACAATTGTTTTTGCTGAATTACCAGCAACTTGTTTAATTATTTTTGTGTCTTTCAGTTTTTTCTCATAATACATTAATAAATTTTCATATTTTTCAATTTCTTCTTTATGTGCAACTTCATCTTCTATATTTCTATGCATTCGTTTAAAATTAAGTAGTTTTTCAATATTGCGATATTTTTCTTCAAATTTGCTCTTCTTCTTTTGAAATTTTTGTTTTGCACTATTTCTAGCATCACAATTTTGTAGCATATCTTCAATAAATTGTTGTTTAATTTTAATAGTATTCTGCAATTCTTCAACTTGTTTATATGCAAGATCAAGATCTATCTGAATTCTTTTTACTTGAGATTGTTTCTCTTCATTATTGTTCATCAGTTTCTTAAGAATATTTATGTATTCTGAATCAACTGTTAAATGTTGTGCTTTTATGATTGTTTTTGTAGATTCATCTTCAATACTTTCATCAAATTTTTCTTGATTTTCATTCCTTTCAATAGAATCAAAAGAAGCTACTGAATTCTTATTAAAATGATTCTGTTGAAATAGATTTATACTGTTTATATTTTGTTTCTGGAACTCAACTATTTCATTACTCATGTCTGAGTAAGGTAATATCGACATTCTTCGTGATGATGGATTTCTAATAGGTATTGGTTTAACAATTGGCACAAAGCTACTATTTATAATTGCCTTTGATATAGATGAACAATCTTTTAATTTGTAATAGTCATTTTTCTTTGAATCTAAGATTTCATCAGTGTCGGTTTTAAATTTTTTCATATATTCATCTAATTTTTCAAGAAAATTTGGATTTTCTGATTCAGAATCACTGTTATCCTCATCGTCAAATACTTCACTTTCAGAACCTGAACAACTTTTGGTTCTATATTGTAATTTAATCCAATTATTAGATTCATCAGTCTTTTCATCTGTTTCAGTTACTTCTTCAATTCTTTCTAAAGATCTTCTTGTATTTTCATTATAACCTTGTAAACTTGCAGAGTCATCACCAGCAATGCATTCTTCATATTCTTGTTTCATGCAAAGCCATTGTTCAATTTGATTTTTCAATAAATTTTGCTCATTAAGTGGTAATACATTGGTTGACATTAGTTTATTAAATAGTCCTTCTGCATTTAAAACCAACTTTGACCACTGAGATGCTGCAAATGCAAGACGAAACATATCTGGATTTGGACTTTGATCACCTGATGTTTCCGAAGGCATTTCATCCCCAGTATGATCATTGTCTTCTTCCTGATGTTCACTTGTTGAATAATAACTTTGCAAATCATTAATTGCATATTGGTAATATGGTTGGTGATCCACCATCATTTGTTGGTGGTGCATCCAAGGTCTATAATGCATCATAGTGGTATTCATAATTGTTACCTTATAAAAAAAATAATTTAATTATTTATATTTATAATATAAATTAATAGACACAAATTACATCTGTCATTTTTATAAACAATAAAATTAAACTTTCTAATACATAGTTTATAGTTTTATTTAAAAACAACTTATAATAAATATTACAATGATTAATAATTTATTAAATATAAAGCTATTTTATCATTACTTTAAACAAAATTATTTAAATATAATGCTTTATTATTTTATAAAAATTTCACTCTTAAATTTGTTAAAATTATTGACACTTAATTCTTATAATTGATTAAAATAAAATTGAAATAAGTTAAATCATTTTTATAAAAATTAGTAGTTACAAAAATAGTATTAAAAATAATAAAAAGTAAAAATTATATACATAAATAACTCCTATAAAAAAGTGATATAAACTGTACATTAAATTCTTAGTAATATAAAAATTTATACCAAATACTTTAATTACATTCTATCTAAAATTTATTTAATGATTAATTTATTAAAAGATATTTTTATTATAACTAGACCAAATTTCATATCAAGATTTTTTTGTAGATACTCAATTAAATATATTGATACATAATTTATGCTTCATTTAAATAAACATATATTAAAACCTATATATAAAGCTTTATTAACTTAACAATAACTAATTTATCTAAATTCACATTTAATATAATAATATTAAACCAAAGATAGTTCAGCCTTTTATATGAACATAAAAATAAAAATTATAACTTACCCATTAAATTAATCGTAATTGTACAAGTAAATTGTTTTCATAAATTTACATTTATCATTATAATTAAATGTATATTTTAAATATATTATTCATTATATTGCAGCCCAGTGTATATTTTATAAGACAAATAATTTGGACACAACAATAAATTCACCAATATAACCCTTTATTTTTTTTATCTATTTTAATCCAAACTCATTTTTTCTATAATACACAAACTTTCTCTAAACCCTCCCATTCTATTACGCGTACGCAGTTACATTTATCACGCTATCTCTCTTTCTCTTCAGTACGTCTGCGCATTGAAGCTCATCTCTCTGCATCTCATTATTTATCAGTTTTGTTCTGTATTCGTAAACAAAATCGATGCATCCAACATTCAATAAAATATAACAATTTTTACATAAAAAAATAATAATACTTATTCATTTACATTTAATAAATGGAAATTCCACCATTAAAATATTTAGAATAATAAGAATTAAAATTTGTAATTTAAATTTATACGAATGAGAAAGCATTATTTAAATAATATTAATTTAGTTAAATAGAGTAATTCAAAAGATATAAGTTTATTTTTTAATTGAGTCTTACTTAACATTCAAACAATTTACAATATTTCGTAAATGAAAAAAAAACGAGAATCTAAATTTTAGACTAGTCTGCATGCTGAGTAGAATAACAAAATACGCGTGCGCAATTTCAAATAAAATCCCGGGATATTTAAAACAATTTATCTTTATAATTGCAGAAATTTACTTCATTACATAAAATGAACATTTTGTTATTACAAACCCTAAAACTTAGTTCCTTTTGCATGTTATTTGAGCGTATTTAATTGTGTATTTAATAATGGATTTAAAAAAAATTTAGTAATTAAACTTTGAAATTCTTTGTAAGTTAAAGACAGTATTTTACATTATATATAAATACAGAAATCCAAAAGAATGTTACCCGGACTATATTCATTATATAAGATCAATAAAGTTGATTCTTCTTATAAAACACGTAGACTCAAATAAAATGAAAAAGAAATTAATTTTTACGGCTTTTAATAATACCATATTGATTTTGTGTAAATACAAGAATTCCTATAACATATGTATTTATAGTTTTTTTTATCAACAAATTTATGAAAACTTAATACTATTTCAAATTATGTATAAGTAAAAAAGTATAAGTAAAGAAGAATAGTAATTATAATAATAGTAATTTATTTTTAATGACATTATAATAGGAATGGGAGTTTTAAAAATTAAATACTAAACAAAATAAATTATGGCTAAATCATATCTAAATCATAGCTATAAATGTATATAAATTTATATAAAATAATGCTAATCTATACAAATTTTATATGATAAATTATTTCATAATTACTAATATTAGATATAAAAACTAAATTAATTAATTTGAAGTAGTTATAAATATTACTTATTATACATTAATTATTTAAAATTTTTTTAATTAGTACTTATATTTTATGTTAACATACAAAATTATAATATTATATAGATAAGAAAATGCTAATGAAAGACGGAAGATAATTTAAAAATGTTTTATTAGCTTCATTGAAAAATCTCAAACTACAAAATAATTAATTAATAATGTTATTAATTATTAATTTTATATATATATTGAGAAAAATCAGACCTTTTTTATTTTGGAAATAAATTAAATTAAATTACTTTGAACTTTATCTACAGATTAAGAGTTTATTATTAATTAGAATTAAGATACTATTATAGTTTTGTTAATTAATTGCTTTTATTAGTAATTAAATTAATTGAATCTGTTAACTATATTAATATTTTAAAGAAAATTGAAAGTATTATCTAATCTGTGTAAAAGGAAATCGATTGAATGATCGACTTTTTACACCAATTACATTGAAATAATTCTTGCTGCAATTCTCATTTAATGGCGTCATTGATCATTTTAATCACACGCATATATAACCTCGAAGTAACAGTGCAATACATCAGTCTAAAACTGGAACATATTACTAAACTAACAATTAAAAAATATTTATTACACTGTTTCTCATGGAACTTGATTATTGCGTGATAGGTCACACCACTGATTATGATAGGTTAAAAAAAAACACATTGCTATAATCAGGATTAATTCCCATGTTAGAGTTACATTTCATTTTAAAATATTTTATGCACTAATGTTATCGGATATATACTACTGTAAAAAGCAATTATAAAGATTAATTTTTTATCCAAATACTATAATATTATCTTTGTTATATAATCATTTGACAATTTTGGTCTACCATATTACAATTGCTACATTGCCACAGAAATAATAACTGTAATTATAATAAAAATCATTACTTATTTAATTAATTAATTACTTAATTTAAGTATGTTTATTTATCTTCAATCAACGATCAAGTATAAATTCAGTAGCTTTTTCACGAAAAAAATCGATAAATCTCTTAAAATATGTTAGCTTTAAATATATAACAAAAAAGAAAAATATAATATACATGTGAAATATTCGTATTTGCGCATACGAACAAAGGGATGTTTTTTACTATTTTTCTCTATATTTAGTTTATATATACTCATTATTTAACGTCTGATGAGTAGAATATTAAGTGTATGGATACATCTCAGACAATTGTTTTATTTATGTATATAGCTTTCTTATGAACAATAATATTATATTATTTTAATTTAAAATAGAACCATTAAAACTTTGAATTTGCTTTACGCTATATATATATATATATATATATATATGTGTGTGTGTGTGTGTGTGTGTGTGTATATATTATAATTATATAATTATTTATATATGAATATTCCTTTATTATATAAAAATTTAATGATTCTTGAATTTTGCTACGTAGAATAGACCATACTTTTTAGAAAATTTAAAAACTAATATATATATAATGACAGGTAATTTAATCAATTAAATATATTATTGAAATCTAATAATGAAGTGATGAAATTATATTCCATTTACGAAATTTATGACTTAGACTACAATAATTTAAATTATTTACAATGATCATTTAAATTATAAAACACACATATATATGAATTGCTAAGACATTTAAATGATCATACGTAATTAGAAACATAAGTGAGATTATAATATTAATAATTAGAGATCTTTAATATTCAAGTTATTTCTTTTGTAGAATTATATAATATCATGGTTTCAAGTTATGACTGAAAAGTATAGGCTTCACGCGTAAGGAATATATGATAATATACTAATATGCAAATAAGTAGTTGAAAATAATCGATAAAACTCATACGTATGCCAAATGAATGTATTATTTAAACACACAAATTAAATATATTAATAGATTTTATTTTATGATAGATTAATGAAATGCATTTTTAATTTGTATTGTGTAATTGTTTGTTTTTTTCTTTAATTTGTAATATCTTAGTAAATAATTACTACAAACATAATATTGTCTTAAATTTTTATTGCATTTTCATTTAAAACTTTATTTTAATTTTTCCAATAACGTTCATTAATAGTTGATAATACTATGTAAACTGTATACAATTTGACTATTTAAATTTAATTATTAAGTTTCAAAATATATAAATTTAATAAATATTATTCGTTTAATTAAATGTTTATGTAAATAAAATACCACTAATTAATACGATGACTTACTTTTACAAAAGTTTTTCATTGCTAAAATAATTATAAATTTAACAGCACTGTAATGGAATTAATTTAAATTAATCTAATTAAAATATGCAAATTATAATAGGATTAAATATTTGAAAATATATAAGATATTATAAAATAATTATAGTTTCATCTTAAAATAAAATTTCTACTTATTTAAATAAGAAAATGATTCACATACAAATCATACAAATGTCAAAACTTTGGATAAAAAAATATTAATTTACATGAGGATCGCTTAATAAATGAATATTTCTGGTATTCAATTAATTTTCTTATAGTAGTTTTCAAAATGTATACATTGCCAAAAAAGAAATTTTTAGTTCATTCGCCTATCAACGAATACTAGGAAATAAACGCGTGAGTAACATACCAACTAGCCCACAATGCCGGGTAAATTAAAGTAAATAAAAGTCAACAAAATAGTGTAAGACATAAGTATCTTGTATCTCTTTACGATTGCTATGTCAGATAAACAAGAACAAACCGTGCTCCCTGTGCAACAAAGACGAAGAAGCATAGCATAACCATCTCTATAACTCTCCTAGTAAAATCTAGGTATTGAAAAAGACTTGATTAAGAA